CATAAAAATAGTAAAAAAAAATCTTAAGTATTGTTAATCCAAACGTGCATTTGAATGCTGAACATCAAAATATAGTTTATTTCAGTTTAGGGCAGATTTGTTTGTTTTTTTAAGATTACTTTTTATGCCTAATTTGCACACGTGTGCCATCCATATAGGCTACTAAACACTTATTAGTATTAGGCTACTAAACACTTAGTAGTAACACTTGAGGCATAGCTCAACCAAAAATGAAAAATCTGTCATCATTTACTTATTCTCATGTTGTTCCAAATCTGTATGACTACTTTTGTGTTCTGCAGAAGAAGAAGAAAAAAATATATATATTTATATAAAATTTAAATATAAAATGTATATAAAATATTCTAAATAGAATGTTGGTAACCAACCAGTTTTGGTTCCATTTGACTTTAACTGCATGGACAAAAAACACGGAGACATTTCTTAAAATATCTTCTTTTATGTTCACCATAAGAAAGTCAGGTATGGGACTACTTGAGAGACAATAAATAATGACAGAATTTTAATTTATGGGGGAACTATCTCTTTAAGAACATCAAAACGCATCACATAAGTAATGCTGTGTTCTTGCACTAAAGTTGTCCGTGTCTGAAAAGCAGACCATGCTTTGTTAGCCCAACATTTGCTGTTTTATTCATATCCCTGTCTCATCCTTTGCTTGGCCTTTTGCTGTGCTGCGCTTGCAGTTTGGAGGTCTGGAAGCTGAAACATTCATTCTTGGGCACTATGGCATGTGTTCGGGGCAATCAGAGGACAGAGCGTTTGGAGAAATTGGCAGATGATAAGGGGAGTGGAGCTGGCAATGGATGGGTATTTTGGGCTGTATGGTATTCTTGAAATTATTCCTGGGTCTATATAACAGAGCTCAGATCCTAAGATAGTGTCCTGGTTGGCTTGAGTAAGTGGGCCTAGAAATGGTTGAAATTATAAAATGGGTTAAGTTAAGTTGTAAAGTTAAGTTAAGTTAAGTTAAGTTAAGTTAAGTTAAGTTAAAGGGTTAGTTCACCCAAAAATGAAAATTCTGTCATTAATTACTCAGAAACATAGCAAGGAGATCTGTAAAATAATCCATGTGACATGGACTTGGGAACATTTCAGTTACATTGCTGTCTATGCAGGGTCAGAGAGCTCTCAGATTCCATCAAAAATATCTTAATTTGTGTTCCGAAGATGAACGAAGGTCTTACGGGTTTGAAACGACATGAGGGAATTAATGACAGAATAGAATTTTCATTTTTGGGTGAACTAACCCTTTAAGTTAAGTTAAGTTAAGTTAAGTTACGTTAAGTTAAGTTTTGGGTTCAGTGTGATCCGGATATATTTTTGTGAGAAAAAATACCAAAATATTACCATTGGATGCTATCATTGCACCATTGTGCTGCCACAAGGTCTATCCAGTACTGGAATTTTTTTGGAGGGAAAATGATACCAAGAATTATGAATCTATTTGGATCATCATAGTTCAATATGCAGGGTTCAATACTATGAAACGAGGTGGGACGGGCGGGGCGGGTGCCTTCATGTCAGCATGCAACAGAAGATCTCCATTTCCTATCACTTTCCAGTCCTCTTGCATAAGGCCGGTAACAGGTGGTTGTGATATGCGGATTGACATTAATACTTTACCTGACATAGCACTGCCTAAACATTTAATGGAAGCATTAAACGTTCCTTGTGTTTATAGTTCAGTGTTGTTGTTGTGTGTAGCACCACACGCTATCTCACACAAACATACCCCTCTAGACACGCATAGTTTTACACCTAGAGTCCTCTAGGCATCATCACATGGGGTATTTTTGATGCCCCGGCTCAGTTCGCCTTTGGATGAAGGTTGTCTGCAGAGCAGGAAGTGGACGCAAGTCCAGAATGCGTCAGGAATCAGAACACATGCTTCCACGTGTCTGTGTGCTCGGTTTCAGCTTTCACTTTGGGGCTTTAAGGCTCTCCACACCCAGTCTACCAAAGTGTCCACTCATCCTACTGCTGGCTGCGCTGTTGCAGTTTTTGACACGTTATCTGCTTCTTGCTGCTGCCGCTTGCCGTGACTCTGTGGTGATGTATTTTTAGCCCCGTTTTTGCCTTTAATTATTGCAGCCACGGGGAGTTTGGTCCAAAGAACTGTCATGAAATTATTATACAACTGTGTTGCTTAGCAATAAAGCATTGTAATACAATTCTTGAATAGCTCTGCTAGTATAAATCATAGCAGGGAAAGGCTTTACTGTGGTGTGGAGCTATTGTTTGGGTCATTCAATACATAAATGTAACTGTGGGTTGTTTTTCAATCAGGACCTCCTGGTTTGAGGGCAAAGAAAGGCCGTGATGGGGCTCCAGGTAGGTCTACAGTACGCATATGCCTGTGCCTGCAACGCCACAGACTGCTGTTGTGCATTAGCTGCTACGTATGTGCACACCTAAAGCTTTTAATAGCAAGAGAAGCATGAAAACACAATCCTCCATTGAGATTTCAAAGCATTCAGAGATGCTTGGACTTTACTGAATATATTTTGAGTCCTAGGGTAGAATTAGTGGTATTAATACAACATTTTGGACACAACATTGAAATGTGTTTGGGGTCACATCCATGAAGATGTATTTTTATAAGAGTTTATAGACTTGAAACATGAAATAAAGAACTGCCCACTTAGACAGGAAGTGACTGTCTGACTGACATAAAAGTGGATAATCACAGTTTGTTTAGCTTTTATTTATCATTTAGGGTAGGTTTACCTAAAATGGATTATTAATGGATAATCACAATACTAACTGGTGCCATGAATTCAAATAGTAGTGCAGAACTCTACAAACATGTCAGAAAAATATGAAACAATTGTAAATTTAGGGGTACAACAGCTTATCACTGGGACAGAACCCTTAAAGGGACAACATTGTACCTTATCTACCCCTAAATGTAACATATTGTACCCTTGAGGTACTACTATGAACCTTTTAGGTGTAAATAACTTTTGAGGTACTGTACCAGATGTACCCATAAATGTAAAATTTCTGCACATTTGTTTTTTTTCTGACAGAAAATACTGTAAAAATAAGGTGATTTCAGCCATTTTTGCTTCATCCAATATGTATTAGATGGTCAGTAAATGGACTGTAAGCAGTCTGTAGGTGATTTGAGGCTGCTACTATACAACCTATAGATTCCTCTATATTCTGTGCGTATGAAGTGGTTTCATGTAAAGAGTTATGGATCACATGGGTAGAATGAGAACGTTTATGATGACAAAGATTGATCTGGAATGTTCAGAGAGCAATTCTTACGTGACCACACATATTTTGTGTGTGTTGTTCACTCGTTCTTTGACATTATTCTTGCTTTTAGGCCTAATATAGGGCTTGCTGTCTCAGCACCAGCTTTGATAAATGCCGGTTCTGATTTCTAAGAAAATACAGGCTTCTCAAAACAGGAAAGGAAAGAATAATGATGGACCCATAGGAAAGCTTTGTCACCGGTGTGACTGCGCCATTACTTAAGGCTGCCATATTTAATGTACCAGTTTGACTGCAGAGCTCAGTCAAAATGTAGATCTTCTGCTTGTTGAAGAATTCGAGCTCATGTTTGCTCGAAACATTTCTCCTGCAGTAAACAATGGTTTTATTGGGACTTTTGTTCTCTCTTCCATCCATTACATAGTTATTTTTTTTAAGTCAAAGGTTCGTACTGTTACTCCCCCAAGTTGCTGGCTTTGAAACAGAGAGGTGTTACCTTTTCATACTCTTTAGAGGACAAAAAAAAATGGTTTCTGGATGAAAGAACTGGAAAGAAACCTTATGATTCTGGTCAGATTGTTCAATAGTTCTGTAACAAATTGCTTCGACGGACTGGTTTTGTTCTTGCAGTTGTCCAGATATAATAAGTTATAGAAGAGGTGATTTTAAGTGACATAAGCGGAAAAGATTTGTCATCAGCAATTTTGAGTTTGTTCTTCCTTGATAGAGCTTGAGATCCTGAAGCTATGATCTCAGTTCTGCTTGATTGCTGTGTCTTGCTTAAAGGATGAAAAAGAGGCTGTGCATCCAACTAATGCATGTGCTTATAATTTGAAATACTTAGCTTTTTGTAATACTTAAAATGGCTACTTAAATCAAGTTGCATTGTTCGTTTAAATTAGACATCCTTCTAGGCCCACATTATAATATTAATGGATGAAACCTTTCAATGCAACTAACCTGATCAGGTCCACATGGAATCTGCACCCTTGCATGTTCGTTTATTAAATATTAAAGCATATTTTCATTATACTTTCATCAACCAATAAGAGTGTAGAAATCTCAATTCCATTTAACATATTTTCCTCAGGGTTTTAATCTATGCTGCGTTTTCCACCAGAATCACTGTGAAAACGTTTAACCTTTCTTGACTAACGATGTTAGTGAAATCTGTTTCCACTGTTTATTACGCTGCTAGTGTATGATTTAGCATTAGCTATGAAGGAGATGGACAGTTTGTGATGTCTGGGTGGGGTTCGCGTGCTCAGAAGGGGTGTGATTTATCTGTGCAGGCAGTCTTCCAGTGATGTGGCTTATTCTCCCACTCAGTTCTCAGTGGTCTGTTGCTTGGTGGGCTGACTGCTCATCCGTGAACCAGAGACAAGCAACACTTTCCCACAAAAAGCTTTTCAATCCTGTCATCAGTTAAATTATAAACATATTTTTAACACTGTATTTACATGCCAAACCTATGCTGTGACGCACTTCATTAAACTACCTGCGTGTGAGGTTGTGTTACGGTAAGAGAAATCGGAGGCGGCGTTCATCAGTTCAGTCTGGGCTGGACAGCCAGGAAATTCACTTCGGATTCTGGTTGGACTACGCAAATTCAGACTTGCGTGACGTTTTTTTTTTCCTGTTCTTGGGGAAATGAAATCTGTCAGGGTCAAATGTTTGATGTAATGTGCACATGGTCCAAACAAGATGATTTTTTCGAAATGACTAATCTGTCTTTCTCTCTGTTTTTATTGCAGGTCCTCCTGTAAGTAGATGTTGGTCCCTTTGTTGACTGGATTGTGGTAATGTGACCCAAACTCTTTGGCTTTCTGTGTATTTGTGTGTGTTTTGAGAGTGTGAATTTATCTTTCATGTGTTTCCTTATTGTCACTACTGATGGAGTGCTGATTACACGGAAGGAAACTGTTAGTTTAGTTTCCTTCCGCCACACATATAAACACCCACACTGTCATCTGTCAGAAGAAGAGCTTTTGTTTTATACTAAAGGTGAAGTGTGCACATTTTTGATGTTGAGATACTTTATAAAATCCAGTTTAATGTGAAGAGATTCTGTGGCTCTCTTCAAGCAATGCTCTCTTAAGCATTCTGAGCAGTCCAACATGGCAGTGTCAACTCAACCAATAATGTGAATTTTGGGGCGGGACTATCCATTTGGGCAACCAATGACATACAAAGGGGGCGTGTTCTGGAGACTTGGACAGCAATGCTCTCTTAAGCATTCTGAGCAGTCCAACATGGCAGTGTCAACTCAACCAATAATGTGAATTTTGGGCGGGACTATCCATTTGGGCAACCAATGACATACAAAGGGGGTGTGTTCTGGAGACTTGGAAAGTTCATTTTCCAATTTAGTTTGGTGGCACAAAAATGACACACTTCACCTTAAATCGCATGCCATTATCTTGGACATAGCGATGCATTCTTCTGGGAATTTGGCCACGGATATAGAAGACGACAGCACTGGCAGACATAGCCTGTTCAACTTTATATATCGTTTGAGGGGCTAATGTTACAGAATGAGGTTATAATGAGAAAGAAGGTCGAGAGAAATATATAGTAGAGGAGAAAAGAGAGTCGAGCAGTATAAAATTAGGTGCGGTTGGACAGCTGCGTCCCTGCAGTTAGAGGGAGAAGGTCGAGCTTAAGTGATTAATGAAATACCAGCAGCCACAGATAAACAGTGGCTACAGAAAAGACTAATCTCGAATGAGATATATCTTAACCTTTTTCCTAGAAAGCAGTGAGATTAAATGAAGAGAAAATTGAGTCTTCTGCTGAAACCTACTGTGAAAGTGATCCCAGTAATCTCACGTTTCTCCTCTAACATTTTAGAAGGCGTCACTGTTTCAAACTGTTCTAAGATTTGCCAATATACCAAAGTCTACAGTCATTAGACTGTCCATAAATCTATGACAGGTTTATTGTAAAAATGTGCCTAAACCTACATTTTTGCAAAACATACCTATAAATATAGTTCATTACAGTTTCCAGCTGAAATTAACACTAGAGGCAGTAAAACATCAACAACTTTTAACTTCTTTTTCACTGAAATTATAATTACAGGGGCAGATTATTGATTATTAAAGGCATATTTTTGCGTGGTTCCTTGCACAGTACTATGCTATGACTTCAAAACGCCTACCATAGTTAATGATTTATAAGCATCACATAACCAGCTCCATATGTATGGCTTTTCTGATGTGGTAAATTTGCTTGGTAGCGCACCTGGTACAACGTACGGAGCACTCTGGTATGAGTCTGTGAAACATGTAATAATAAAACAGATCAAAGACTTGTATAAGCAAGCTGAAATGGCATGTTTGCTTCAGCTAATACATTTTTATCTCACATATTAGCTAAGTTTATGGAAGGGTTTAATGTAGGGGATATATTATTTTCAAAAGCAATGGAGCATTAACCTTTTAGCGCCATTCACCAGACATTTCATTTCTGAACTGTCACAATTATGTACAACCAACATAATAAAATTCACCTATTTAGTTGTTAAACGTTCAAGAAGCTACATAACAATTTTACGGAAGTGTCACCACAGGCACGTTTTTTTCAGTGATCCTAGGTTGAAATGATCTGAGCTTTGCTAGTCACAATAATTGAATAGTACTGTACTTTTACTGTATGACATCAGTTGTCTCTTTATTTCTATGAAATTTTAGGAAAAACATCTTGAGATAAATACTAAATGAACTCCATTAAATGGATAGTTCACCAAAATAAGAAAATCTCTGTCATTTATTCATTGTTATAAAATATTCAATAATCATTGATGTTTATTATCATTTAACCTCAAATCTGGCATGACATGTCTTCATGAATGGACCACTTATTTGACTTTTTAAGTTGTTTTTTATGTGAGTGTTGGAGCTCGGATGAGTCTGTCCACTCTCCCTTTAATTCCCTTTTATTCTGTTTTAGGAGTGAACTGTTCCTTTAAGTCTCTGAGCTATGAAAGTGAAACTTATGAGCAATAAAATATCCCCGTGGGTGAGCAGGTTCCACAGCCCAAAAACTCACATACATATACGAACATTCCAACACCTGCTCATATAACCCATAAATTGAAGGAATATTGAGAAGAACTGAAAGACAGGTGAGGGAACTGTCAAACAATGCGCATAGTCTGTTAACCAACTTAAACATTAAGTTGATATTTCTACTGTTGTCAACTAAGAATGTTTAGAGATGGTTAGTGAATTCTTTTAATCAAGTCAGTCTTCTTTAAACAGGTTTGGTGATCTATTGGCAATCAGTGTCAGTAAGTCTTTAACTACAGTGTTTGTTTTCAGTAGAAGGAGTTTGACAAGCCCGGTGCCTGATCAATGGTCCTAGAGGGCTGTCCCATCACACTGACCTATGGCAATTCTTAGAAGAGTGTATACTGTAGATTATCTAACAAGAACACTAAGACAACACTCTTACTGATGTGATGGCAACTGTAAATCTTCACCAAATTGGCCTTTTCCTGTGTGCTGAAAGTAAATATGTTGAGAAGTTTAAATGCATAATAGCCTGTGGTTCTTCACAGGTCACCTCACAGGAGCATAGCCTTTTGCCTGCTTTTGAGGCACGGCTGGCCTAACCCAGCCTTAAACAATTAGTAGTGACAGGAAACATTTTACATTGACAGAAAGCACCTCAGTTAGTGTGTTGAAAACTCCTGAGGAACATCGCACTGGTCAGTCTCAAGTCTCTTGAACATAAGGATTGAAACACTTGAAAATGAGGGGAGGGAATCAGCAGGGACTTGTTGATAGAGTAATATATAATTTATGTTTAGTGTAAATTGTGAATATTTTACACTTTTCTTTCTTATTTATTTCTTAATTATCTGGAATGGACTTTGTGCTTTGTGAGTTTATATTTATACAGTAGGTCAGTCTGAGGTTGTGTTTAGACAAAGAGAAGGAATTAAGGATGCATGACCTCCACAATATATGTTATCTTCTCACAGACTTAAGGTACAGTCAAATTAGCAAATTTTCACAAAAAAGTCCACTGTCTGTTGTCAACAGTGCTTGTAATAATGTACGAAGCACAGCTCACAAAGTCACGTTCAAACCAAGCAGATCTGTGTGACCAACTTGAACCTATTGTGAAATCTGTTTATTCCTATGGAAGTGATTGGATTTAGTCTTCGGACATTCGCAGATATACGGTAAATTTACACTGTGTCCAAAATTGCATACTTTCTGAGAAGGTACTTCTTTTGAATAAGTAATTACTTTACGACATTCTATATAGTATGAATGTGCAAAGTGCGAATGAGATCTGGACATACTACATGGTCATGTGACCAACCAGCGTCAGTTAGGTCACTTCACAGCTGTTCACAAGCCCTGTCCCTTGGCCTCATGGGATAGTAAAGCATCCGTTGGATGCACATTTCAGAAGTAAGTCATCCGGTTATTTTTTGCCTTTTTTTAAGAATACTAGGCATACTACTCTTTTCACATACTAGGAAGTAGGCATATTTAGATGCCGGGTTAGTAAATTCTCCAAAAATATTAAGGCACAACTAAAAATAAAAAGCCTTGGCATTGTAACGACATAGTATTGTGAGGTAAAATATCATAATACTTTATGCTGTTTTGCTTAGCATAAAGAACAGCATAATTAAATAGGTTTTCCCAAGTGATATACTTGCTGAATTCAGCATTTTTCAGTATTTTTACTGCATGTGTTCTGTAAGTGCCCTGTGTCCGCTGAATATATCTTATCCGTGCAATGTTGGACTCTAGGGAAGCATTCACCCCCGTTTCCCCCTGGGGAGCCCCTTCATTTACCCAGCAGCACTGTGGGCTAAATGAGAGCCACATGTACCCTGCTACCGTGGATCACAAATGAAGTGTTCTTCCGGTGGGTGACCTCTGACCTCGCCAGACGCTCCTTTGGGCCGGCCTGAGCAGCGCCCAGCAGGCCTCACTGGCCTGTTCCCACTCAGCACCTGGGCCTGCACCTTAGACCTGCTTCACATACTTCAACACGTTCATATACCCACGGCACATGTAGACCAGCTCACTCGTACACACTCCTGATCTCAGCAACATCCAGCGGGGATCTGTTCCTCTCTCTACACACCGCCGCTTATAAACACCCAGTCCAGCTGCGTCCAGCTCTCATATACGTTACACCACTGCTCTGCCACATGTGTGCCTTCTGAACCTAAAGATCCTATTAATGGTCTTTCATTGTTTCCCACACACTTCAACAGTCTGCATTCAGTGACACACACATCAGATTTAAAGGGAGTAGGCATGTTGTGATTGCCCAGTTACAGAAATGCTAAATCTTGTTTTTTGGACTCTTGCAGTAAAGATTGCAATAAATTATGAATGTATTAAAATTGTTTACTTTTAACAATAATGCTGTTTTATGTGTAAACTACTGTTCAAAAGTTTGGAGTGAGTATGATTTGAAAAAAAAAAAGTATCTTCTGCTCTCCAAGGCTGCATTTATTTGATCAAAAATGCAGTAAAACATTGTGAAATATTATTACAATTAAAAAAAAATATGAGTTTGTTTTAAAATTTAATTTATTCCTGTGATGCATACCTGAATTTTCAGCATCATTGCTCCAGTCTTCAGTGTCACATGATCCTTCAGAAATCAGTCTAATATGCTGATTTGCTGCCCAAGGAACATTTCTTATGATTGCAACAGTTGTGCTTCTTAATAAACAGCATTTATTTGAAATACAAATCTTTCGTAACATTATAAATGTCTGTAATGTCACTTTTGATCAATTTAATGCATCCTTGCTGAATAAAAGTATTAATTTCTAAAAAAAAAAATAATAATAAAATCATACTCCAAATAACTCAGGGTAATGATATTGTAGCCCAACGATATTATCTACACCTAAACATAAACCTTATGTAAATTTGTGTAAAAATCAGTGTTCAACAGGTTTCACTATATTAGTAAGGACATTTTTGAATAGTAAGGACATTTTGGACCTCACAAGTACAGTTCAAACTGTACACAGCACACACATGTTGGGAAGCATTTAATATACATAATAATTAAATAATAAAAAAACACACATATACATTTGATTGATTGATTGATTGATTGATTTATTGATTAATTCTTCCTGCACTGATGAAAAAACACAAATTAATTTTTTTTCATTGTTTTATTGGATTGATATTTTTTTTGGTCTGAATGGTGTATGGTCATATCAAAGCATACAGACAGAAGAGTGCCATGGATGTTTTTGTCCGTCTGCAATAGTTTCCTCCCCTGGGCTAAGGCTTGATAAATTGCTTCCCTCTCCGCACTGTAGTCCAAGAGGAAAGCCAACACACACAAACACTAGTATGCACTTCCACAGGCTCATGAAATGAACTGTAAATGCATCATCAGATAATGAAGAGTGTCACGGCAGTCTTAACAGAAAGGATCCTTCTTTGAATGATCAAGCAGCTGTCAGGTTTTTACCACTAATCCTCTGCAATGAAAAATGTACACAGTTTTTTTTTTTCACAGCGGAATGGTGCTCTGTGAAGGAAGTGAACTTGTTATTTGATTTGATTTAAACCAGAGCGATCTCCACAATCGACTCTGAAGTCAAGCATGAGATAAGGATTTTCAGCCAGAAACCATATGTTTCATGCATGCGTGGGCCTCTTAATGAACATCTTTTTTAATCAGACATGTGGTACTATTTAGTGTTCATGCTGGCACTAAATGCTTAGTATTAAATGCACTAAAATGATCTTACTGAAATATAAGTCATGATTAGTAATGACATGAACTGAATTGACTTTCACACTGGAAAAAAAAACTTGTATATAAACACCCTTAATAAAGATAGATTGTATTGAGAAAAATTGTGTAAGATGACCAGACTATTGTAAAATATTAATATAATTACGTTTTTTTTGTTATTCTTTTAAGCATAAACCACACTAAATCTATACTTAAAACAAGAAAAAAATAGGGTTATAAAGTTAACTTAATTTGAGATATATTTTCTGAAAAACAGTTTTTATTACCGATATTTCTTCTGGAGTAAATGTGTCTTGTTTTAAGGGTGTTTATGTTTATTTTTTACTGGGACGATATACATTAAAATGATTTTCAATGAAAAATTGAAAGCCATTAAATAAAAGAAACATGTCATGATATTAAAAAAGATTTTCTGGGGTCCAAAGAAAATTCTGTTGTGAAAGCATTTGATGGTGTTTGCGTTTGTGGAATGCTTCTTTGGAGTGTTTTCCTGCTGCTACCTTTGAGCCTTGCCACACTGAAATTTAATGCTGGATCACAAAGTTCCACAGTAAAATTGTTTTCACTATTCAATATTGAAATTGTAAAAGCAGACTAAATTTCATTATGGCTTGGCATGGTGTTGTGTTCTTCTTAATCAGTATTGTTGACTGGTTCTTTCTTTATTCTGTACCCACATTTCTCTCACCCCTTTTTAGGGTCCACCTGGACGAGCAGGCTTTCCGGTAACTGTCTGATAGCGTGTCCTATTGTTTATCCATCCGTCTGTTTGTTTTTCTTGCACTTTGCCTTTCTTTAGTAGTGTCTTTAAGAAGCTGTCTCCAAACAATTCAACCTGAAACTTCAATATGAAAAATACTTAATCATGTATTTTGCAGTATGTCATATATACAGCTTCTTTATTTGGACACACTGAGACCTCCTTTTAACCAAAGGACTGAGGATATACAACCAATGTATGTACAGTAGTATATGTAGCTTTATTTTCTAGCGAAATGTGAGCTACATTTTCATTAAAAATTAAATTTAGCAATTAAAAAAAAGAAACAAGAAAAGTTATGATTAGTTATGAAAATGGAGAAGTGTTTCAGAGGTTTTTTTATGACATTGTTCTTGTAAACTCAAATGATCTTGCATCCGTTGAAGCTCAAGATGCTCTTTAGATCCAAAGAACATGGTCATCAGGTTTCAGTCCATAGTTATGCTTGTAATATGATTTGTAATGGAAAAAGCATTAAATGAGGAAGGAATCCAAAGTGGTCTCAGACTTTTAGACCCCACTGAATATCCCCCTAAACCAGATAAGCTAAGCTAGGTTTAATGTAGCAAGTCTTATAGCTAGGCTCAGTGGACGAGTCTCTATTTCCTTCAAGTTAGCACACTGTATTTTTATACTTGATTGTATTCTCTCAGACCCTTTGGTCTCTGTCTGGATCCACTCTTCCGAATTTCTCCTATAATTCTAATATTACTGACCAAAACTCAAACACATCTGTCTTTCATCATGGCATGCTAGAAGAATCCCATCTAATGTGAACTCTAGTCCTACCTGCCAATTATACCCTACAAACCCCCATCACTCATGACAGCTATTCTTGTGAAACTTTGCCATAAAATAATTTTTGCGTACTTTTTGTTTAAATTGTTGACAGGTCTGGTCAAAGTGTGGATGTGATCCCTGCCAAAGCTTTTGATTGATTACATAGTCAGGAAATGAAATGAAATTTTATATTTTCTTAGGATAGGGAAGGGTGGCAAGCATGTTACACGAAATGTGTCCATTAGATTAGTTCTTCAAAAAATATTGATATTGGCGTTCACGCTCCATTGAACTATTAAGGGATACTTGTGGTTTGTATATTTAAGCTCTACTGCTCATTCACATGTATGTATGACTATTTAACACTTCTGATTTGTAGTTAAGTACTTTAGGGCTCATTTGGAGAAGTCTGGAGTTTTTAGTGTACTTCCTCAAGCTATTTCTAATCTAAAGCTCTAGATGATTTTACATTCTTTCTATAATAGAAAGATTCTCTTTCACAATGACTCCTTTGAATACTGGCAGTACTGTATGACTTATAGTGTGTGGCTTATACTGTGTATCATACTTAATTTGAGGATAACAATGATATTACATAAATTATTTAAAACTATTTATTTTATATATCAAATAATGCATAAAATCATTAAATATCAACATAATTCTTAAACAGTGTACAGTATAAGCCATATTGTGGTAACTAATTAATGCCATAAAGCAGTATTACGTTATCTCAAATCAGCACCTTGGACAGAGCCAAGAGAATTCAGTCAAGTGACTTTCCTCTTGGGACATTCAGCAGCAGGCAGTGAATTAACTCTGAAGGTCAAACTAAATGAACACTTCTAATATGGGGACCTTTATCTTAATAACTTTAGAGCTTAGTAAAACAACTACGCACCAGAAAAGCTACAGTTCAGTGTAGCACATTCATTGTTTTAGCAAATGTTTTGTTGACTTCTGATGAGTTAGGGGGGCTTAGCCACCCCCCCCCTTCCCCCCCCCCCCCCCCCCTTTTCCATTACGTGTTACTCGAGTGAGTCGTCAGCAAGCTGTCAATGCTCCCAGACCTTCTAATACACTGACCTGCAACGTTAGGAATGCAAATAAAAACAGCTGTAGGAATGGACGGCCTTGCATAATAAGTCACTTCAACGTCGCAGGAGTTTATAGCCGTGTTAAATAGCGCAAAATGTTTGGAAATGCATAGGTCCAGGAGAATAAATGGTGAATCCTTTAGACCAATTGTTGTATCAAGATCTCAGGTTTCTACCCACATATTTCCATATGTTCGGATTTTTGCCTTAATTGAAAAAATTGGTCTAATTTTAAGTAGGGATAGGATAGCTATGATTATGATAGAATGGGATTCATAGTTTTTAAAGGGATAGTTCACCCGAATATGAAAATTCTGCTGTTTTTAAGACTTTAAGGCTTTCTAATGCTTTCCATGGAACTTAAAAGAAGAACATTCCATTGTTAATCCCAATGTTCATTATACGTGTATGGTGCGTTTCTGTCATTTTTCAAGTTTGAAGGTTTCAGCTTCTGTCCATTATAACTGCATGGAAAGCAGCATGGAAAAAAATCCTCAATTTCTTTCCCCTTTTGTTTTCAGAGGGAGAAAGGGAGTTATGTGGGTTTAAAGTGACATATGGGTGAATAAATGATGACAGGATTTTCATCTTTTTAAGTGAACTATTCCTTTAAACCCTTCCAATAGGAAACAAACTGTCATGCTTCCACACTGCTGTCTCTTTCAGTCACTTCATCTGTCATATGGTCAGCTAGCAAACATCATCTTATGCAAGAACCTTGATTATGAAATTGGCCTAATACAAAATATGCTGCATTAACCCCATGCTTTCATTGGCATCATGTAACCACTGGTGATGCCTGCTGTCTGACCACTGTACATTCATCTTCAAATTCTTGAGAAGCTGACTTCAAGCCAGTATTTGGCATGTCTGCATTGCCACCTTTCAATTTAAAAGTACAGTAGGTGAATGCTTAGTAATATAGACATTTAGTTAGAATCACATTGGTCAGCTTAACTTTACTAACTCTTCTTAGCCATACCATGTGAATATGCGGCTGAATGTCACTTAGTCACTAGCGGTAATAACTCTAGACTGTAGAGATTCAGTCTATCAGATTTATTGTTCCTGATTTTCCTTCTTGACTTTGCATTGACCACTAGGGAGACAAAGGATCAATGGGCATTCCTGGAAGAATGGTGAGTGATTTGATGATATGCACTAAGCTCAACCAGCTAGTCTGTAGTATATGACTGTAGTCTTGAATAATTGGTCATCAATGCTTAGTGTCATGCCATTGACAACATTTATAACTGGACATTTCTAGCTGTAACTCAACGACACCTTTATATTTATTGCCAAAGGTCACATTGATAATATAAGGTCAGACTGAACTAAAGAGTAATGTTTTCTTTATATACAGAATCCAGTATCAGCGGTTAGTATCATTTCCTATGTCATTTTGACCTGTTTTAGCTTGCACTGTGAATGTAAGCATTCACAAACTTTCATATGAATTTCTTCCACAAGTTTATTGTAGCGTTTCAGCTTTTCAGCGCAACTATATAATATAAACCAAAAACTATAGCTTATTTATTAAGCCAGAAAATGTTTCCTATTTCATCACCGCCATTGATAGTTAAAAAAATGTCTGACTGTGAAGTCTGAAATAATTCATGGCCCCCCTGTCACATTTGAACAAGGGCTGAAGACCAGAGTTCTTTCTGGCTGCATTTGATGAGAAACCCTCTCTCCTTATTACTCAATTTGTATTGGCTGCTCAGTCATGTGAAAATACTTTACTTGTTGAACTTTAAATAGAAAATAGACCTCAAAGAAGCCCTTTTGCTTATCAGTTACATTCTACATGCTGAGAAGTCAAAACGTGCAGCCAAACCTCGAGGAGATCTTGGAAGAAACATTTTGGATATATATCCACAGAGAGACGATATATTCAAAATGAGAGAAACAGATTGGAAAACCACATACAGTTGTGAGCTCTGTTTTACCTCCTCATTCGTAGGATTTGTGCATTTGGAACTGGCCATTTTTCAGATTAGCGCAATGCATGATATGTCGCGAAAGAAATCGGGATCGACCAAAATCCGCACAGTCATATAGATGTCCCCCTGGAGCGTAGCAGCTACTCCTCATTAAACATTTTCAGCAAGAAACCAATAAAACTGCATTGTTCTCAAAGGAGACATTCCAAACTCTTGACCCTTGTATGGTTGCATATTCTGAGCTCACCCTAATGCTTTCTCTTGAAAAACAATCCCTACCTAAAAGCAGGTTTCAGCAGTGTTCAGCTCAAACTGTGAGCCCCAAGCAGAGCTTTCCATATTTCACCCAGTGTAAAGCTACATTGTGCTCCTTTAGATTCTCACAGGAAGCGTTTTTTCACCCTTCATGCCTTATCCTTCCCCCCTCCAACCTCCTCCACTGACCAGTCTGTCTGTGAGAAAAGTTAGCAGCCCCCTCATCTACTATCCATTACTCCCCACAGGCCAGTGTAACACTCCAGTGCTTCCGTTCCCCTGTAGCCTCCACCCCTCAACAACCCAAAATGCTCCAGTACATCAGTGTGTCCCATTCTCCCGACCTCCAAACACTCCGTCTCAGGCTGCTGCATGCCCTTGTCCTCTCAGAACCTCGCTAACCCAGGTTCCTCTCTCTGTCTCTCTCCTTCTCACTGTGCATGTGACTGTGTCTGCTGTGACTGACCAGGGCTTAAAGGGAAACCTGGGGGAGAAGGTAAGTGCAGGATGTCGGCCTGCATGTGCAGAATTGAGACTCTCTCTCTCACTGTGGGTGGCTGTGTTGATGAGGGTGGGGGGACGACCCGAACCTATTGCACAAATTGCGCAGGTATCGTGATTTATATCAGGAAGGCTTTGGGCTTTATTTTGAACGGCCTTGGGGGTCACATTCGGAAGACGTTTCCCACAATGCTTGGATTACCTGTGTTTATTCTTGGAGCGCTCTGAAGTTTTAAGACTCCCCACTCTAGACAAAGAGATGTTTGGAATGGAGCAGCTTACGAAACCCTACCACTTCAAGACGCATCCAAAACTATCTAAAAGTTGTGTAGTCACTGGATGTGTCCTTGAGCCTGTATTTGGTATGAGTGAGCACTCTATACTGGATTTAGTGCATTGAGCTTCAGTTCCTGTTGTGGCAAATGTGGTTTGAGCCGTTCTCAAACCAGTCCCTTTTGGCAGCTGTGCTCAGTGTTTGCACAAGCCAGCAGTTCTGCGGCCTCCCTTCATCAAGCTGGAATGATATGTAATGTCTGACACAACAAGCAATGTGAGGAGAAACATGTTCCTCATCCTTCACCATCACAGAAAAGTAGTGAAACTTCTGGATGGTTACCCTCACTTGCCAGCAAAACACTGGGGCTCTAAAGAACTTGGAAAGGAAATAAATAGTGATGTGACCACTGAGCCGACAAGTAGAGAAGCAGACAATATACGACCTTGGAAAGACCCACCAAATTCTCGTCCAGAAAAATCAGTGGGCTTCCCTCCTTGTTTCAGGGATTTACTTTTTATCCCCTCTTTTTAAATGTGGTCATGTTTTACCTTCCAGCAAGGGCTTCAAGTCTTGACCCAACAAATTTTGGGTGAAGAACTTCACTTCATTAAATATCAAAACAAACCCCCTCAAGATGAATGGGCACGCGAGCCCTGAAACTGGCAGCCTTAGCGCTTCAGTTCTCGAGCAAATAAATTCAGTTGAATCGTAATTGGTTGCGTTGGAAAGCTCAAGCCGAAAATCAGGCGAATTGGTGATTGATTGGTTGAACTTTGCAAGAACTGCAGAACTTGAGACTGTGTATTCTTTACACAGAAAGGATTACTTGCTGAACGAAATGAAATCTGTGAAGATCGTATCATTCATTAGTAAGTCCAATCCTTAAATATCAGCAGAATTTGCTCCTGCTTTGGCTGATTGTATTTGGACTCTTTGTCCTGTACCCGTTTCTAGCTGCCAAATGCTTGTAATGTAAGCCTATTCAAAGGGATATTTCTAGATCTTCTGTTGTCCTCTGCAAAGTTCTGTGGGTAACCATAAACCTTGGGGGCAAAGCTTAGGAGTCCTTTCCTTCTCCACAACCTGAAAATCAGTTTCGTACGTCACCCTTTTCATGCCCCAGTAACCTTTGTAGGTGATTCAAAAAAGTGTTAAAACAAATACATCTCTATCCTGTGATAAAGTGGGCATCGAACCAGAAAAATTTAAAATTGTCCACAATTTGATGGATGGCTGGGTCATCAAAGGTGTCTTCCTGATAGGGTTTCACATGAGAGAGCTAATTAGGGAAAGTGCTGGAAACCCGAGAGCTTTCCTGTCTGACCACAGAGCGTTGCGGGATTGCGCTTGGATGTTTGGTGCAGCGCTGCGGACAGGCCGACACCGCGCAAATCACCTAGTTTGCGCCAGATAACCAGCCCGCTGGGCCGATTGCTGTTTACTCAGCAGTGATCCCTGACCCTCTCAACTCGCTGTCAAGACATAAACTACGACCCTGAAATGAGAACCAGGGTCTGCTGACATTTTACTTACAGACCGAAATACCGTGTTCACCTCTGAGCCATATGCAAGCACTCTCCGTGAGGCGGCTTAGCAAAAGAGTTATGTTAAACAGATGCTACAGGGTGTTTCAGAAAAGGTTTTTCTATTCTGCAGATACAATATATTCACTTATACGTTTGGCTTTGTGTACTAGGTGTAGTTTAGTGGATATCATTCTGTCTCTTTTCTGTCAGTTCCTCTCCTCACTGTCTTTCTACCACTCTATCTGTCCGTAGGGAGCGCCAGGAGAGCCAGGTCTGTCTATCATTGGCCCACGAGGACCTCCTGTAAGTGTTTGCTCTGTCACTGCTAAAGCTTTTCATCATCTCCTTCTAATGTCAGGTCTCCAGAGTAGATACAGGTCATAGTGCAGATTTTTAGCAGCTTTTGGCCTCAATCCTTTTATGATTCCAGGGGTTCTTGGCAATGGTTTCTTCTATTGTTTTTCGTCCCGCACTTAACTTACAGACCACCCCAAAATGAGCGTGGTGTAAGATAGATAAGCAGGATCAGTGTCATCCAGCACACTACTGTATGTGGAGCAAATCCAACAAATCTCTGCTAATCAAGACCCAATCTCTAATATGCACAAACAGGACGGGAATCCCGCAGCAGCTTGTATGGAAGCACTTACACTTCATCAGAGTATTTCGGGGCTGCGACTCCCACGTAATGACGCCAATTTGGAATCTCATCTTCATTAGCTAGAAGGAATGAAAACATCCCAGCCCTTGTCATTATAATCCAGACATTAGACGTGCAGATTGCGTTGTATTTGTTAATGAGTGGTCAGCCATCAGGCGAAATGGGGCTTGTCCCCAAACTGGCACTCTTTCCCTTTCCACGCATTCCACCCAGTAAGACAAAAACGCCATGTTACGCCGTCAGAAGTGCAATTTCCTTGCTGATTATGCCGTGCATAGCCTGTGGTTTCCCCATTTATCCCTACATACTGTTATGGGAGGGCCTTCAGACTGTATAGACATCTGTTTTTCTGCTTGCTGATTATACACTTCTCTATACCTCTGACCCATTACCTCTAATAAGGCGTCAGGAGTGGACATCAGGCATAGAGAACTGGTGACTGGGAGAAGTTTCATTGAAGGGAATCTCTTCAGCAGATGAGCTGAGAGCATAGGCTTTGTCCTCACCTCCAAAAGGGTCACAGAGGTTGATTTGAGGCAGAAGTGTGGAGAGGCCAGCGGAAATGACCAGTTTCTTTCTCACACATAAGTGAGGCAGTTAGGGAATAGACAAGAGGGATCATTAGATGATGTATTGAGTTGTCATTAGATCTAGTTACTGTCCTGGCTGATCAGGCGGGGGACATGGTTTCATATCTTAAAACTGAAAGTACAACAAAATACAAGCTATGTAGTTTGACAGGTCTAAAAAATACATTTTGCTAATCGATTAGCATTCCTGGACCCCAGTTAGGTTGTCAAGTATCTTTTGTTGTATTTGTCATGTTTTGTTCAAGATACACTTTGAAAAATTGTGTCTGTCCTGAAAACAACTGAAAAGCGATATTTAATATCGGTTTAATTTCCAAGATCAGACTGCAGTCAGAAAATTGATGTTGTATCACTCCTGAAGAATGTTATGTATTGCGGCCATAGTGGATTTTTGGTTTAGAGGAGTTCTTTTGAGTAGACTAGGCTTGTTTTCTGTTACTTTTTATTACACTTTCATGCCAACAAAATGAATGTTGTCAAGTCTGTTTCGGGTGATTCTGAGGGGGCACATGCTGCTACTCCCATTACTCCAGACCTTTAGGTTCCCAAGGCAGAGAAAATCAACCATGTTCCAATAACTACCTGAGACCCAGACACACAATCCCCTTCATTAGCTCAGTTCACCTCTTCCTTGTAATTTTCTCTCAGGTCGCTCCAACGCAGTCCTTTTTTGCCAGGCATATTGAATGACTTCCTCTTTTCCCAAGGGCTACTAAAGTTTTTTCAGGAAAGCAGACTTGGTATTGTTTAAAGGAGAATGTAGCACTAATCATTACTGACATTTACTTATTTAATTTGTTAGCCTTGTCTCATTTGCTCTCACGTACTGAATAAGGACAACTCTTTAATGTTTTTCAGTTAGTTCCCGTGTTGAATTTCAGTCGGTGTCCCACAGTTTTTAGAGCTTTATTTGTCTTTGTCTCCTCATCCCACACAAAGTGCTTCCTACTGAGCAGGAAGGCTCCTGTCCTTCAACCTCAATTACGACACAACTGAGTTTGGAGGAACAATACTGCGTCTCTCAACACAGACCTCCTTTCATCGAGTTCACATAATCCTCATGTTTTTCGTATAGAAAATAACTCCTCTTCTTTTTTCTTTCTGTCTCCCCTCAGGGACAGCCCGGTACTAGAGGATTTCCAGGCTTTCCGGTAAGTGACTTTTGTCTGAAGCCAATTGGACAAACTTGTGTAGCGTTTCTGTGTGAGTTTATAAAAGCCATCAATTAGCCACTGCTTCTGTGGCCCTTATTTAATGGATGCATGTGGAAATGACTCAAGGAAGTGAGAAAAAAAAACATACAGTAGACTTGTGCAGCTGTCATTCTAGAAGTTGGATAATGTGAGATTAGGCACTGTAAGGTTTAAAAATGTCCTAGGACCCTTTCTATGGGCATTCTACATGATGTTAAAGTGTTTATTACCCTGCATGATCACTGATCTGCTGGACACATTTGGTACACAGTGTTAAAATACAGTGTTTCTAGTGAGTCAGTATACTTCACCATGCTTTGGCCTGACCTTCAAGGAAATACATTTTTTCCATAAACATTGTCATATTAGCTACTAGTCTAGACAGGAGAATTAGAGCTGTTTTGTGCCTTCACAGTGTCGCCAATCTGTTCTCCCACTTTTTTCCAGGGCCCCATTGGCTTGGACGGGAAACCTGTGAGTTTTGCTTCATTCCTTACAAATGTTTGAGTAATTGACACTCGCACAGGTTTGGAACCTCCGAACCCTTGTACCAAATTATTTGGCAGTAATTGATAATTGACGGTCATTTTGGCAATGAAGAGGATAATTATGGTAATAATAATTATGCTAATTATTGTAATAAATTCACTATTGTTGCCATCATGACATAATATAAGAACATAAAGAATGGAGTAAATTGTACTACCTAAAAAGATTAAAGAGAATGGATATTTTTCTTTTGCCAAACCTTTTTTATTATTTTTTTTTTACTTCACAGGGACAGAATGGTCCAAAAGGTGATATGGTAAGCAATTTCATTACCATTTTAACATTTTTAGCCATTGTTAACTGGCTTTAGAGGTGCAGTGCAAAAACTATTTCCAATTAATGTGATCTTAAGAAAATACATAACCTTGGCTGGAATTAATTGAAGTGTTAAAATACAAATCTAAAGACTTTTAGTTTAAAAGGACACACATAATGAGATCTGTCATGTTTGCTTTCGCTAATGAAATACTGTTGGAATAAAAACCATCTGTCATAAAGAGAAATATGTAAAAAAGTAAAACATATCATAAAGTGTAATTTGTCAGTGTCTATAAAACTCACCAGTTGAGCCATTTATTTTCAAGATGGCTTGTTACAGTGATGTTTATCTAGGCTGTAAGCATAGCCATATAAATTCACAAGAACAACACTCTTGTAGTTTGATTTATAGGTAGAGTGACTAAACGGCAGTGTGCATCTGTGTGTGTGTGTGTGTGTGTGTGTGTGAGAGAGAGAGAGAGAAGAGAGGCCACTTACCTGTTTCATTCAGTGGGGTTTGTCAAAAGTGACTTTATGTTAATATCTGTATGACATTGGCGACCTGGGGTCTTAAAACAAGGACATTAGGTTGGCTCTGTCCTCTTAAACTGCAATTTGACAAATGTAGTCCACAGCTTTCTTTTATGTGATGAAAGACAATGGGCAGAGACGTTATGCTTCCAGGCTGTGTGCTTGAAACCATTCCTTGTGAAATATAGTACAACCTCTGTGATCTTTCTTTTATAGCATCGTGAGAAACGGCAAGCTTAGAAACTATAAAAGAGAAGCACTTTTTGAATTGACACCTTTATAAGACAGCATCAGAGCTGAACGGCCCCTGCTGAGCTTTTGAACAGCTTTTGAACATTTAAAGTAATACATAGCTTACCCAAATACAACCTAAGCTGGATTTTTCATGTTTTATTGACAAGTTTCTTCTCAGATTCTTCATGCTCCACGTTTGCTTTTGTTCGTATATGGTTGTATTACAGAAATCGATTTGTTAGTATTTCTGGATGAATGTTATGGCTCCTCTGAAGGCATTTCATCAATCTGCTTGTCAGCTCTAAGGCTGTGAGTTACATGTTTTTATAGAGCACGATGCATTGTGAGACATTGTTTTATTAAAAGCGGCCACTGATGCCCTCCATACAAGCACACAGCGACAATTGAAACCTACTAAAGCTTCCTCAAGCAAAATTTTGCTTACTTAAAAATTAAAATAAAAGTTTTCTTTTTTGTTTTTCCTTTTCTAACATAAGAAAATAATTTATAAGGAATTGTTGTGCTTGTTATGGCTGAGAGGTTTTGTAAACAGGAAAAGTTAATCATGGACAATCCAGTAACACTTCCATATTGTTATTCTGATTATTTTCCCAGGGTCCTCGTGGTCCTAAAGGAGTACCAGTAAGCATTTGCTTTAATATGTATTATTATATAGTCATCATTTCTCAGGAGTTTTCACATGGCAGTGGAATGTTGTGCATGAATTACATTTTGGATGGGCTTTAAGTTTTTGTTCAAATCTTATTTTTCAGGGTGAACCTGGTCCAAAAGGAGAGAAGGTAAAATCATGCATGAAATGCATTAAAATAGCAGCTAATTTTCTTATGATTTGTGAAATGGCCTTAGAGGACTTTGTGTGATGGATTTTTATTTTTTTTTTCTAGGGTGTATGTGGTGACTACACTCACAGGGTGAGTGAATGTTTTATTGAACGTATTGAGTTGATAATGTGATATCATAAACACTGTTCATTTATGTTTTAAAATATAAGCTATCAAATAGGTTATCTGGAGCTGAGTGCTGGAAAATCCTAAGCATATGTTTTCATTCCAGTTTCCGTGATATTCTTCTATTTGTCAAAGTGATTTTTCATGTTTACCCTTAAAAAGACATTTACAATGTGTTTGCGGTTAAATTAGAGACATCAAAATAATGGGAAATAAGGCAGGAACAATAGATTGACAGCTTGGATGTTGTCTCAGATAGGTAGCACATGAACACATGCCAAGGCAGGGCCTCAAAGTTGATCAGCTCTCTCTCGGGGAAATCACAGTTTCGTGTAAACAAGGCAATTTTACCAACAGCCTGCTGAATTGGATTTGATAAGGCTCTCTGTAAAAGGCGGCCAAGTTTCTTATGTGGTGGATAGGGGTTTTTGGTAACAGCCCTGGCCTATTTAAAAGTCATTTTGGCCCTTTGAAGCTATTTTATCAATTATGTAATCTCAAAAACAGCACGCGATATAAAAGCAGAAAAATTGCCTTGGCAGTAGATGTTTCTGCTGAATCTGTGTTTAGCTTGAAAAAGAAAGAACAGTAATAGCAGCAGGACAAAAGCTGATAGTCTTGTTTATAAGTTTTAATCACTGTTTTTATTGTGTATAAGTAAGTGTATGAAGTATATCATACAGCTATATCACATCAAAACAGAGCTGTTTTTCATGCATGTCGGCCAGGCCACATGGGAGGCAGTAGACTATTTAGAAAGCTGCTCATAAGGGTGGTCTTTTTGGGTGGTTGTGTACCATAGGTTCTTTGCAGTTAGGGTTAAACCCAAAGGTCACTGCGCTAGACTGAAAGGATACACCTTGCAGTGGTGGAACAAAAATGGGAATTATCACTTGAGTGTGTGTGTGTGTATGTGTGTGTGTTTATGTATCCGTATCCATGTCCGTGTATTTGTATGTTGGGCCATTTTAAGCAGGGGCTCCCAATGAAAACGTTGGCAGCTTTGCGCTCCAGTCAGGCTCTAATGTTGAAGGTTTGTGGGCTGTTCGCTGTCCCTCATCCATAATACCGTGATATGTGTGTTACAGTCCTGCTGCAAAGAGAGACATAGCTGAAAACTGTGCTCTAGTTTATCCACGTGCACTGTTGGAGGTGCAGAGAGGTGCCTGTTATTATAACTGATTGAAAACACTGTGGGAATTTATAATGACACATCTTAACACGCAGCTGTTCTGCTGCTTTTTCTTTGGACGTCTCAGGGAACTTTTATGGTTGTGGTATATCATTTTAAGGTACACTATGCAACTGTAACTTTATACATCATCAAAAATGCATCCAGTTTTTAAAGACATAAATAACATGTGTTTTTCATATTTTCATTGGCCTCCTTATGCATAGAGTACCTTAACATAATGTAACTTTCTGGTAAAATTGGTGAAAAACCTTCTGCAGGGAGATAAGCTTTAAAAGCACTTGCCTTCATGATTTGCTTGTATTTTCCTCTTACACTAAAATTCAGCGAGCCAGTATCTTGTATTTGAATTATTGAATGTAATATATACACTACTGTTCAAGAGTTTGGGGTCAGTAAGATTTTTTTTCAAGGATGTATTAAATTGATCAAAAGTGACACTAAAGACATTTATTATGTTATAAAGATTTGTATTTTAAATATATTCTGTTCTTTTGAACTTTATATTCTTCAAAGAATCCTGAAAATAAATGCAAAAAACTCAACTGTTGTCAACATTATTAATAATAAGAAATGTTTCTTGAGCAGCAAATCAGCATCTTAGACTGATTTCTGAAGGATCATGTGACACTAAAGACTGGAGTAATGATGCTGAAAATTCAGTTTTGCATCACAGGAATAAATTACATTTTACAATATATTGCAGTAGACAACAGCTATTTTATTGTAATAATATTTCACAATATTACTGTAAGAGACAACAAAAGTAAAACATTCTAACCAACCCCAAACCTTTGAATGGTAGTGTATTTTTTCATGCATGGTCCAAAAATCTGAAACCCCATTAACTCTTTCCCCGCCAGCATTTTTGAAAAAAGTTGCCAGCCACCACCAGCGATTTTTATGATTTTCACAAAAATTTGATGGCCTCCAGTATATTTTGCTGTATGAATATTTGAATATGCAATACACCAAAATAAAGATCAGAGCCTCTACTTTTAAACAAAAAAATAATAATCAGTTTTATAAAACATTAAAACATTCTTTTTTTATCAACACTTGAATATAGGTAGGTTTCATAAAAAAATGCATTATTTTGAGCAAAAAGGTGAGAAAATCACATTTTTATCAAAAACTACATCTGGATAATATTCAGTACGATTATCAAAGCATAAATCCAGTAAATCGCTTCCATCAATACCTCCAAAGCTTGCACAGACATATACCACTTCCTGGATCAACATTTTACTCCGTAACATTATGCAGTTTTCATTTATATGCTGTCTATTGCTGATGATCGCATTGTTTTTCATATGCATCTGTTTACATAAGAGATCGCTCGTTTCTCCGTCCTGTTCACGTGTGTTTTTGTTCGGGAGGTTTTGTACTCGTTCAGAAGATGCGTAATAACAGTGAAAACACGAAAAGCTGTAAAAACTCGTCTTTGGCGGGGAAGCGTTTTCTTGTAAAGACGAGATAACTCGTCAATGGCGGGGAAAGAGTTAAAAATTTGGTATTTTTTTTCCATTTAAACCTGGAAATAAACAAAATGTATTAGGGTTTTGAAAAATTTAAACCAACATTTGATTGAATTAGAATTAAAATGAGAAAGAATGCAAAACTGAAGCATTTTCAGTAGTCTTTAGTCCCTTTTAATGCATTTTTATGTGCAGTCCATTGCATAGAGGTACGAAATACAGGCACCTCCCAAGAAGGAAAGTTGTATTTAAGGTAACATCAATTATTAGTGGTGTACATGGGTCAATAACTCTTCAATCTGTACTTTACAATGCTGCTGATCTCAACAGAAACGCCGTATTGTCAACGCCTGTGCTGGAGGACAGGCCAAAGTAAGTCTGTTGCGAAACTCTCTTTGTGGCAAGACTGAATCCAGCCTGATCTACACAGCATTGCTGCAGAGTCACAGATGCCGTCACAGTGGAAATGGAGATAGAAACATTATCACTGATAATGATAATGTTTCATATGTAAATGTTTTAATAGGCCTGTCAGTTGATTATCAGAATAAATTCAATGGCATTGCATAGACTTTACAAAAAGGGGATTAGGAAGTCAATACAGTTTATATTTTATCTATGTATTATTGAACATAAATCTTTTACCAATTTTACATATTAATTTACTATTCATTCAATAATTAATCAAAGTAAAGGAGTGCATTACATTTCCAGCCCTATTAATAAGAAACAGTGTAATCATATTTGTGAAAATGTTTTAAACCTACAGAACTCCATTCTGATGGACCCGTGACTCTGTTCAATGATGCTGAATCCTTTTTGGTTCTCTCTTTCCCTTCTTCTACTTCATCTCTCTCTTTCTCTATGCCCTTGCCTTGCTCTTTCCTCACTGTTCACTCTCTTTTTCACTTGTTTTTCTGTTTTTTCCCTTCCCCTCCTCTCCTCTTTCTGGCCCGTTTGGCCCTTTGGCCTCCTGGTGAACTTGTTGGCCTGGTGGTTTTGTGCACCGTTGCCCACCTGTGCTTTGTGACCTCAGCAGATGTTGCCCATCACCGTCCGCAACATGCCCTCAATAAGCCCTCTAATCCTAAAGCGCCTCAAGGTACATCTCTCTCTGCCACCCTCGCACTACTTCCCTACGGATGCCAACCTTCGTCCACCCACTGCCAGCATTCACTGAGGCCATTAACAGCTACTGAGCTCTAGACAAACATCATAGCCAGTAGTTTCATTGTCATGATATGACATTGTCCACTTGAAATACACTTATTTTATAAAATAATGTCCAATTCACAAAATTTATAGGCATATAAACTCTACCCCACAGGAAGAACTTCTGTCAGGCCTTTTCTGGCTTTTCAGACATTGTCCATCTGGTTTAACTGCGCGTTAGCGCAATAAAAGTCACTAATACATAATGGATTGTCCTTATACTGTATGTCTAATCCTATTATAATGTTGGGCAAATTTGGGGATTGTTCAAGTATTTTTAAGCTGTCATCTGATTCATACCAGAAATCGACTACGTTTAGAGACTATTTTGTAAATAAAGCACTTAAAATACAACTACTAGAAAATTTTGGATGTGAGAAATATTTTAAAGACCCCATGAAATCATAGTTTTTAGGTCATGTCTGTTAACTTTGAGGCTAAATTAACAAGTAACATTTACAAACCAGTACAATTTGTTAATATTAGATAATGCATGAACAATAAACTTCCATTTTTACTGCATTCTATAATATAGGTTAATATTAATTTATAAGCTTGCTGTTGTTTATTGTCAATTCATGCTTGTTCATATTATATTAACAGACACACGTTATCTTAGTGCATCCTGGTTACAGTGTAATTACACAAGTCAGTACTGAGTAATATTAATTAACTGCATATACTTACTGTAGATTTAGGGTTTGGTTTAGTGATTCTTGTAATTATGCATAATTTACTGTTATTACTTATAACGCATTTGATCTGTAACTAGGACACATTAAAAGTGTTCCCTGATGTTAGTTTATACAACATGCTAAAAAGGTATTCATATATGTATATTTTACCAATATTAATAAATACAGTAAAGTATTTTTAATGTAATTTTAGATGTTGCATTCATATAGAACCTTGTTGTAAAGTGATACCGTTTAACTTTTAGCAAATATACAGGGTCCAAAAATCTTGATGACATAATCTTGCACTCATCGTCATGTCCTTTTTGTTTTCTCTTTTTTGTAGTCCAGTCAGCTGCTCTCTAAAATGAAAACTAAACTACATTCGTTAAGCCGTTTCATGGGGTGTTTATAAGCTCACAATGTACATTTATATCCTTTGTCAATCTACAGTTACTCATCAAATCCCTTAAGAACAGTGAACAAGACTCCTGCCATATTAACAAAACAAAACAGAAGTTTCAAAATCTGATTCTATAATCCACACAACGACAGTCGAAAGATAACAAAAGAATGAGAGAGCTTATTTGGCAGCAAAGTTGAGTCTTTCTAAAGGGAGATGTCAGCCCTCCACTTCAGCCTCTTTATTAAAAGGCTCTCTGCCTTTACTGCCCGCTCCACAAAGTGGTTGACCACGGTTGGCACCCGTCCTCCATCTTATTTCTACAGGTGTGTAGTCTGTGTGCACCGATTTAGAGTACCATGTTTGGAGACAATGGTATAGACTGTCGAAGACCACACTGTTAGGGAAAGAACTTATAGCAGCTGATTGGCTGGGTCTTCATGTTGGGTCGGGTCTGTGCATTGGATGGAGATCAGGGAATATCTCCATTTAATGGATCTACATCTGGCCTCATAAATCAAATCTAGACAAGTCCTGTCAAGAAAGAAATGGATAAAATATGGATCTGAATCTGATGGATGTGTTCCGGATTTCTCTGAGCTTCAGACTGCTACTGAACAGAGACGGCATTAAAGAAAGGCTTTTCTTTGTCACGGTATCTGCGCTATTTGTGGTTAATCAGTCTTGTACACGGTTGCCAGCATGTAGGAGGTCTTAATTTTCTGTCTATACTAGCAGACTTGAAATGAATGCTGTTAATGGAAGGAAAATTATTCTAACTTAGACCGAGTGCAAACTAAGCCTCTTTAATGTTGAAAACAGACTTTTTAAAAAATAATTACACAGCAGAAATCTTAAATAATCAGTTCTCCTTATGGTCTCTTCTCAGGAATAGTAGGATATTGTTTAGTCCAGTCTTATTTCCTATTTTCACATCCCTCTTGCTTTGTAAATACCGGACACTTTCCTGTAGATGATTTTGTTTAGTCTTCTTCTGTGCTGAAGGTCTCCTCTTGCTGAGAAGTACCCAAAACAGGCCATGAGTGGATCATGTAGAGCGGTGGTTTTCAACTGGTGGATCAAAAAAGTGGGTCAGCAGGATAAGCATAAAGTAAATAATAAAATGCAACTGTCTAGAATAGCGAAATAAATAGACGTATTAACCATTAAAAGGGAGAAAAATCTTCTTGTATATTTTGTTGTTCATGTCAAAGGCTGGACGTGTAATCAAACTCGCCCTCAAAAAAACATGACCTAGACTACATGGAATTTGAGTTCACTTACAATTAGGATAAACATGGTTTGTGCCGACCACAGTGTGCTTTGTTGTTGTTGGCTCCCAAGAGAACGAAACGATCGAAATTCAGTTTTGTACAACAAAAAATTTTGGGTCGCCATTTGATTTCCAATTTTAAATTGGGCCTTGAAATAAACCCAGTTGAGAGCCACTGATGCAGACCTTACTGAAGAAGATCTGTGAGGCCACAAGCAATATTATTGGGCTTGCAAAGTTGAAGCCTTAAAAGCATTAAGTGTAAATGTGTAATTTTTCCAAACTTTTTCCCAAATTTATTAAAAAAATGGTTTCACTATCTGTTTTCCCAAACATGGTACTTTATAAACTAGATTAACCACATCAATCATCTCATCCTGACTTTCAGCTCAACCTTCAGGCCTGGGTTCCTCTCAGCTTCAAATCCACTGTTTCATCAGTATGAATATTTTTTTTGTATTTTTCTAAATATAAATGTATAAAGGATTTTGAGTATAATAATCATAATCATATCTAATTATTGTAAATTACTGGATTTGAATCAGAGTGGACCCTGCCTCTGATGTTATGAATTGTACCTTATATCCAAATGACTTCTTTATCTCAGATGCTAACTTCCTGTCTCTCAGCAGGGCGAGCCCGGAGCGCAAGGACCACCGGGACCTCCTGGCCCCCCAGGGACTCCTGGCCTAACTGGTGCTAGTGGGCCCCCGGTAAGTCACTGAAAATCATCTGCATCAGGAAATGTTTTCTACAAAACTCATGCTCGTTGTTAATCAAATATGTTACATGGTTTTCTGGAATAAATAATTCTGATTGTTCATTTATGGGATTATGCAGTCAAATGTTTTTGGTATAATAACTATTATACTGTATATTTGTATAAGTCATTGTCCCAGGCCATCGTCTCAGGCCATAATATTGTGGCCTCTTTTTTTCTCACATAATAAAATGTATGTATGTATTTATTTACCCTTTTGTGTCATCTGTGATTATGGCTGCACATTCCTGCATTTCTGTTTTTAACATTTGCACTTTTGCATTTGTTGTTGTTGGTTTTTTGTGTGTGTTTTAACTATCTACCTTCTCATTTTTGGGTATAGGGTAAACCCGGAGAACCTGGAAAACCTGGAAAAGACCCAAGAGTGAGTGTTTGAATGTGTTTTCTTCTTTACCTTTCTAATACGGGGGCTCGACATTAAGTAAAATAAACTCGGAAGTCATTAATGCTCCATATGACAATGTAAACTCTAAGCTGAAAGTATGTTTGACACAGATTCTTGATATTATTTGACATGAAATCAGAAGTCTGTAATGCTCCATATGACAGAATAAGATTCAAACTGAAAGCGTGTTTCCATTTTTTTCATTTGTAGATGCTACCAGGGCTGAAGGTAAGCTTGAAAAGCACACAGCTGTCCAGCTGCTCTGCAATGATAGTATTTTCCACAGGCGAGTCATAAACAGGCTCACATGAAGTTCACACACAGTTCAACAGCCTACAGGGTGGGTCTGCTCTGCCGTTGCCAGTACAGAAGGGGTGGATACGCCATAATTGATTATCCATGATTGCTGTTGGATAAGTATGTATTTCCCCGATGCGTTAATTGCCACTGAGTTTAGACTGGGGAATTTTAATTGTACTCCATTTAGAAGCACTAGTCCCTTATAGAAGCACATTTCAGCTCTCTATGAAGATGGCCTGCCAGTCTATATAACAGCTGTAACTAGAGGCTTTCTCCTTTGGACACGAAGTTCCCAATAAAGGAATACCGATCTGCTTATTACCCGTTTTACAACTGGATAGCTCTGAGTATATGAAACAAATAAAAAGGCTTCTTGATAAAAGCCAAAGAGGTCTTTGATTGTTTTTGCTTTTTTTATAGGGTGAGCCCGGTGTACCTGCACAAAAGGTGAGTGTGTCTATCATAGTACGTGAGCTAGACTTGTGCCGGTATTCGGTAATGCGATATATCACGGTAATGAATATGCACGATATTGTTATCTTGGGCACTTCTAAATACCGTGAATAATTATATATTACAAATTATTCCGATTTTTGAATGCATTTTAAGAATACTTTTCCCATAAACTGGTCAAAATGCACAACACTGCTGTATGCTGTGTGAAAGACGTGTGAGCACTCTGACTTGCAGACGAGAAGCACATGGCGGAACATGTGAGAGACGCTCTGGATGAAAGCGCACTTTCACTCTCTGACAGCAGATGGCGCTAAACTGCAGAAATAATAATAATAATAATAAAATTTATTGTATTATATTTGAATATTATTATATTCAAATAATAATATTTATTGTTTGAAAGTGTTTTGATTCTTTATTGTTCGGTCATACTTTACATTAGGGCTTCATTAGTTAACATTAGTTAATTCATTAGTTAACATAAACTGCCAATTAAAAATTCTTCTGAACATTCATTAATCTTAGGTATTCCAATATTTAATAACAGGATGTTAAAATCGAGAGTTGCAGCTGTGTTATTTAATGAGCTAACATGAACTAAGACTTGTATTTTTTAAACAAAGATTAATAACTTCTGTAGCAAATGTAGCTATTGCTCATTGTGAATGTTAATGCATTAACTAAGGTTAACTAATGAGGTCTTATTGTAAAGTGATACCTATTGGTCTTTATAGTTCTTTTGCACTTTAATCTGTGTAAAACTTTTAACTTTATACATTGTTCTGTATTGCTTTATTGTATTTAAATGTTCAATTATTTTTGTTATAAGAAAAACGTTATTAAACCTGTTATACTGTATTATGACAGCACTTTAAAAAAAAAACTAAATTTCAATATCATGATAATACCGCATACCGTGATAAAAGCATTAGCAATTAATCGCAACATGAAAATTTGATACCGGCATATCCCTAACGTGAGCAGACGTTTGTGTTATCCGAAAGGCCATTCGGCAAATCCCACATTTTAGGACTAGAAATTTGGCACTGCTGTTGATTGCTTAAACAAAACTGTTAGAAACGGATCCTTCTTCTCAGAGGAACCTTCAGGAATTAAGCTGAACTGTGAAGGAGTGATGTATCAATTAATCATTCAACAGAGTGATTGAAAACCACTAAGCTGAAGGGCAGAGCCCTGAATGTGAGGCTCATCAATCGCCATGCTAGATGAAGAGTTTCAAAGTGGAAAAAGAAACTTGGCACATCACTTTAAAGTCATGCTAGAGCACAGATAAAATATTAGTGGATTAGAGAGAACACAATTGATTGGGTCAAACTCCATTTTTCTTTCTGCATGGCCATTTTTCTCTAACCGATTTTGTCCTCATCTCTCAGGGTGATCGTGGTGAAGCTGGTCCAAGTGGACCTGAAGGCCCCAAGGTAGGAATCTGTAACCTTTGACTGGTTTAAGCAGCTTAAATAATTAACCTGCTCCACAGGTCAGCCATCACTTCTGTGTCAACTCATTACATAATCCCAACACAGAGGGTAACTTCAGATTGACAGCCCCCTTTGAGTCAGATTCAGAGATTACTAGCTTTCTACAGTGTGTTATTGTGTCAGTCAAAGTCTTGAAGTTTATGAAGGATGTAGGAAACACAGATGTATTACATACTCGCTTCCGTCTTTAATCAGGCCTTCAACAGAAGAGGGTGTTATCTAAAACAGTCTGTAGGTGACATCAGATACCCAAATCATATAGTTTTGATTAAGCCAGTGGGGCGGCACCTTTGTTGTTTGGGTTACAAGACTAAATACCATTGGAGCACTGGTGGAATTGCTCAAAGTACCGGGGGCTGCTGATAACAGCATCTGTTTGGGGTTTTACTGTCTTCCCCTTGAGCAATGTGCTTAACTCTAAAGTCATTGAGTGCATTACCCCTGAGGTAATGCAAGATTGAATTAAGATAGTACATGGGGCTTAGTGTAATGCTATGAAAAGCATAAAATACGCTACAGTAAGTTTTTTAATGCCTTTGAAAGAAGTCTCTTATCTTCACCAAGGCTGTATCTATTTGATCAAAAATACGGTAAAAACACTTATAGTGTGAAATACTGTTACAATTTAAAATAACTGTTTTTATTTGTATATATTTTAAAATGCAATCCTTAAATTGAAACTGTATTCCTGTGTTGGCAAAGCAAATCATTACTCCAGTCTTTAGTGTCACATGATCCTTCAGAAATCATTCTAATATGCTGATTGCTTTATTATTTATCAATATTTCTGTGGAAACAATGATACCTTTTTTCTTTTTCTTTTCTTTGATGAATAAAAAGTTCAAAAAAAGATTTGTTTAAAAAATAAATAACATTATAAATGCCTTTACTATCACTTTTGATTGATTTAATGCACACTTTCTGAATAAAAATATTTCTTATATATATATAAAAAAAACTAACTGACCCCAAACTTGAACTGAACTGTTAGTCTTCTTTTTTATTTTTGCTTCCTGCACATAACAATCTTTCCACCTCATTCCACTCTTGTTTCCAGAATAGCACAGAACAGAACAGTGGGTCAAATAGCTTAGCCTATGTACAGTTACAAGTGTGTTGATTGACACTTTGTGAGGGATACATGTTGGCACAAAAACCACATGTAATCTTTTCCATGTGGAATTGAATTTGCTTTGCTTTGATACAACCTATATTGTTCGCAATCTTGGATTTGTGTTACGCTTTTACACATGTGAACTCTGGAACAACCTGCATATCCATTCCCTTCCAAATCTACCTTTGTGAACTTGAGCTTTCTTCCATCAGCCACGTAGTTCAGGTCCAACACACGCACCCAGTCAATAGCTAAAGCTAGATTGATAGTAAGCATGTCATACAGTGAGCTTATGGAAAATTCCTTTATATGAGAGACTGAAGTAGCATTGTGTTTGTTACGTTTACATTCAATCTCATATTAGTGCAGGTGAAATCTTTTGTGCTAAAGCAGAGAAGCAGTTATTTTGCACAACTGCACCGCCTTCTGGATATTGACAGGTGCTGCGCTCATGAATGCTCACAAAACTGGAGATTTATGGAGGGAGACTAAAATGTGTTCTCCCCTGTGAACTGAGGTTGTCTCCTGTCTGGCCTACTATTTCTACTCTGAAAAGAGACATCTTTACACTCATCTGTGAGAGAGGCAAAGGGCCAAGTCAATGGATTTGCAATTAAAAGGTTAAAATCAGAGGAGACACGTTATTCGGCACATTACCAACACAATTAATCAACGGCTGACTTTGCCTTCCTCCCATGAGACTTTATTTCTGAAAAATTACTGTCTGTCGTCTTCATGGATGTTTAGCTATTTACTCAGCGCTGCCAAGCCATACGGCATTGAATATGACAGAACAGAAATGTTTGCTTTAACAATTTCTCCACTAAACGGGAGACTGAATGGGTTGTTTAGATAAATGATGTTGTGAACTGAAACTCTGCTGACTTTAATGTTACCCTGTTGCTGTGATAGATGTAAATTAGTTGTTTTAGACCAAGGAAAAGCATTACCTTTTGATTTATAAGAAGCTTTCATTTTGCATTTCATAGCATATTGATCACTTTGTTTGTTGTGTTTCTCTTTAGGGAATTAAAGGAGATGAAGGAATGAAGGTAAGGAACACATGTGGTTCTTGTTTTTACTGTTTTTTAAATAATGGTTGGAAGTTTAAAAGCGATGTGAGTTATTTTGTTGATGTTAAAATGCTTTCAACTGTAAGTAACCTGTTTGTAGGTTGACTGCCCCGTCTTTATGGTGCTATGAAAACATTGATGTGTTTGTTTGATCTTGACCAGCTCAACATAGCAACATTGACTCAACCAATAGGATGAGTTTGGGGGCGGGGCTATCTGTTTGATCGGCCAATGGCCAGTTGCGTGTGGTGACGCATAAATTGCACACTTCACCTTTACATTTATTGTTATTCTGTGTATGGAAATCTCCGATTTGCATTCAGTTTTGATTATCATGTCATCTTTTGGATTTATTCAAATCAGGCATAGATCTGTGTTTTGTTAGATTCCAACCTGTATCTTGAAGGAGCAGTGTTCTATAGAGAGTAAATCTAAACATCTGAAGATTTATGTTTGTATGACTGTATCACATGTATGAGGCATTGCTCCTAGTAAAGACATGCATCTGCTGGAGTGCTTACACTGTTTCTCACTGGGGAGACGTTTGCCCTGTAAACAGGAGTGGGACGCACGTAAAGTTTACACCTGCTGATGCACAAATAGTCCCTATAGGATACCGCTATTCTGACTGTCTAGCTGCTTAATGCCGAGTGTTGTCCTGTAAAGCCAACAATGATAGATGAGCAGAGCCTGAATAAACTCATCTTTGTGGACTGGCCAGGGAAAACACAGGGTGTGATGTCTTAAAAGGGTCATATCAGGAGGAAGCCAATTTTCCTTGATAATTTACAATAAAAAATAAGTCCAATGTATTATGAAAATATACTGTAACTTACAGAACTCAAAATGTCCTTCTTAGTCCCAAAAGGGCATTTACAGAAACTAAACTGAAGTTAAGCAACCTAAAGGCACAAACAAACAAACAAACAATAAATAAATATTATTAATGACTGTTTTTGGTGCTAGCATTTCATTAAATGACTAACTAACTGGTCATATGTAAACGGGCATCAAGGGGAAAAAATATGACTCCATGAAATCAAAATAATCTTTTTTTTTTTTTTTTTTTCAATGTCTGTTATCTTTGAGGTCATCAATATTGTCAACATCTGTATCTTCTCTCAAAAAAATAAAAATAAATAAAAAATAGCATATACATTTACATAAAAAACCTCATATGCACTATTTCCTAAATGAAAGTTAGAAATGTTATCTTGACAACTAAAAGAAATAAGTTGAAGTACTAAAATTACTAAAGCTAAAACTGAAATAAAACTATATTTAAAGCTAAATAGAAAAATTACAAAAGCACGTAGTGTTTACTAAAAAATAAACTTGAATGTAGTGTTAACTAAAAAATAAACTTCAATTACTAAAGTTAACTAAAAAAAAATGGATTCATAATAAAATACTGTAATACTGTAGTAGTGTATAAATCGCATATACTATATATGCTATATACATACTATAACCAACTGCCTTTGACTAGCAAATAACATATCATGCTGTGGCTGTGATGTACTGTAGCTAAGGACTTTTTTATATACTGTATGTCCTGCCCAAACCTGTTTCAGTTGAAACTACAACAACACAGGAAAGAAAACTGTGCTTGCCAAACAATTTCATGGGGTGTTTAATAAACCCTGTGTTCAGACGAGAGAGGAAGCAGAGGCTTGAGTCCATGGGCCAGACATCTTATGTGAACTCTGTGTCTCACAGAAATCCTTTACTATGAGTTTGATGGAATTTTCATTTCCTCTGCACGTCCCTCCGCCTTCCCCTCGACCACCCTGTATAGTGAACCGTCCTGATGCTTACAGGATCAGAGGATTACTCTAGATCATCATCTTTATCGATTTATTGTTTCTGGCTTCTTAATTCAGAGTGTGCCAGAAGAAAAGTCTTTCTCATCTGATGACTTTGTTTGGGATCACATGGCTCATGTCTGCGTATGTGCTCCGGTTGGCTTCCAGCAGTTTGTGTGTATTTGTGGTGTGTGTGTGTGTTGCTCTGCTGAAGATGTCCCCATCTGTGCATTTGTGTAGGGTGAACCAGGGATGGATGGGCAAAGAGGAGAGAAGGGGGAGAAGGTACTTTGCCTGAGAAATGTAGTTTGCTATGCATTTAACTTTGGGTGGTTTGTTTGTATGTGTGTGTAAAAAAAGCTCAAATATAACTATCGTAATATTTTTGCATGATCAGCAAAGTTCTGATACTTCTTGGATACACTACCAAAAGATTGGAATAATTTCGTTTTTTATTGTTTTTGAAAGAAGTCTCTTATGCTTACCAAGGCTGCAGTTATTTAGCCAAAATTACAGTAAAACAGCATTATTGTGAAATATTATTGCAATTTTAAATAACTGTTTTCTCTTTTAATATAATGTAATAAATAAATTGTAATCATATTTCACAATATTAGTGTATTTACTGTATTTTTGATCAAATAAATGCAGCATTGTTGAGCATAAGACACTTCTTTCAAAACCATTTTATAAAACGTAATTATTCCAAAGTGCTATACAAGAGCCATGAGGTTGAGACCTACAGTGGCCAGTAAGATTTGGTCCGTTCATCACACAGAAAGTCAATAATGACAGAATTTTCATTTTCGAGTGAAACGTTCCTTTCAGTCGGTCCTAAATGTACATTCCTATAACTCAAGCACCCTCATTGACTCGGCACCACTGATAGACGCCAGCTTACGTTACCAAAGTGAGGACTCGCAAGGGCTGAGGGCAGGACAAATGCTTTGCAACTGAAACCAGGATGTGCACAAAGACATATGACTCAGTCCCAGAGTCATGCTGAGAGAGCAGAGGGATTGCACGCTAAGAGAAAAACAGGCCGCAAGCTCAAGACATTCCCTACTTCCTTCATCTGAGCACCTGTGCGTCTGATTTACAGGCCTCTAACCCTGCTGTTTGTGTAGAACCCCCTGTTACACGCTGCTTGATGGACTTAGCACACTTATTTTTGCTACCTGCCGTTGTCCCTGCCAAACATGTGCTGCCATACTCTTCGATTGTTAGGTCTGTTGTCATGACATTGCTTTGTGTTGCTGCATTCGAGTGCTGTGTTTAAATATATGAATGTTTTCATCATCAGACTCAGCAGACATACCATCTGGGGAGCTGACAGATGAATAAGCACATCTGCAGCAGTGCTATATTTAGGATTTTTTATACATTTATATATATACAACTTGATCACTGCCTCTAATTGAATGCAGAAATATTTTTGCGTGGGTTTTGGGGTTGAAAGACGGTTTGTTTGAAGACTGAGCTATTGCTTGTTTTAATATATTGGAATGTAAATAACATGATACACTATTATTCAAATGTTTGGGATGAGTAAGATATTTTGTGATGATTTTGAAAATCACTTATGCTCTCCAAGGCTGCAATTAGTTAATAAAAATACAGTAAAAAATGTGAAATATTGTTACAATCTAAAATAACTGTTTTCTGTTTTAATATATATTCAAATGTAATTTATTCCTGTGATGCAAAGCTGAATTTTCAGCAGTCATTACTCCAGTCTCCAGTGTCACATGATCCTTCAGAAATCATTCTAATATGCTGATTTGCTGCTCAAGAAACATTTCTTATTTTTCATTTTTTTACTACTATTATCAATTAACATTTTAGAATAATATTAAAGTCATCAAAACTATGAAATAATGGAATTTATGTAGTAAACAAATCTCTAGTCTAGTGACTATATTTGAGCTTTGTCTACATTTCAGCTCTGCTCAACTGACTTAATGAGGTGCATCCTGGGATACGTTTTAAACAGTATTGAAGTTCACATTCTGCAGTATGATGCACACTTGCTTTTACATCTCTATTTGTTCTAATTCATGCATTAAAAGACTTAAATTTTTTAATTTGTTACATTTTAAGCATTTCAGCCTAATAATGTATATAATGTACAATTAGTTTTTAAGATCATGAGAAACAGATTGAGTCCAGTGTGTCCAAACATTTAACTAGTATTGTATACCCACAATATTTTACAATGTCATCACTTTACTATGGTATCGCCACAGTAACATTTATTTGTCTTCCCTCAGTCATATCTGTCTCTGTCATTACTAGTTAGTATTAGGTTTTGTGTAGTGAAAGCCAGTGAAAATTTATGAGATAAAAAGGAGATAAGCAAATGCTAAATTAACTCCTTTTACTCCTGCAGCCAGCAGTGGGTGAGCCTCATCTGTATTCAGTGAGGCTGTTAAAGACTGTCTGTGTTTCTCTCCAATGGAAAAAAAAAATGTAACACACATTTACAGTAAAAATCAGGCATGCACAAACATAGTGAAAGACTCTCACTCATGTAACACATGTGATTCCTCTGCCATTAGAATCTTATGTCAAGTAGGAACGAGAGATGATGGCGTGACATGAATTTAAAGTGCAGCACCTCAGAGATCAAATGAGAGCCGCTTTGTTTCGTTCTCTTTGACATTGGCTCTCAAAACTTCTCTGTTACACACTCCCCTCCAGACCAGGATTGATAAAACAGAGAACCCAAGGGCTATTAAAGCAATAAGTCAGGAGAAGCCATGCATTACAATGATTTTACAGTGAGTTTTTATGTGCTACATGTGGCCGCAACAGAATAAATGACTGCAAAAGGAATTTTTCTTCACATCCTAAAAATACATTAATTTGAAGTAAAAGTATTGAAGTACAGTATTAAGGCATGTTGTCAGAGAATATACTACTGTATTTAGGTTAGTAAGATTAATACTTTGTTTTAGCAAGGATGCATTAAATTAATAAATGTTAACAGTAATTTAAAGACATTCAAATACATTTAAATTGTTACAAAAAGTGCCATTTTAAATAAATCAAAGAATCCCCAAAAATTGTATTATTGTATCCAAACTCAATGGATTCAACATTGATAATAAAAAATGTTTCTTGAGAAGTAAATCAGCATATTAGAATGATTTCTGCAGGATCACGTGACACTAAAGACTGGAGTAATTATGCTAAAAATTCTGCTTTGCATCACAGGAATAAATTACAATTTAAGATGCATTAAAATGGAAAACAGTTATTTGAATTTGCAGTAATATTTCACAATATTATTGTTGTTACTGTATTTTTGATCAAATAAATGAGCCATGGCGAATGTCCTTCACAAAATGTTAGATTATGCTTTTTAAAGCATAAATCCAACATTTTATGAATTTTGTCAGAATGTTAAGTCAAACGGATTGCTATTACTCTTTTTGCTGCTAAAAAATGACACACTGCGTCTTTAAGACTCAGAACTACATTTTTTTATAGTTGTTTTTCTCTTCATACAAGGACCCTTTGTGCAGTATATGATGCATGTTGATGTATATAAATGGAACTTATTAGGTTTAGTTTGGAAATTCCATTCATCCGTTTTCTCTTTATACCTCGGGCCAAGCACGTATACCATGCTCTCGTATTTCATAGGAGCCAAAGTAAGTCATTACTTATTATGAACTGTCCTGAAGGAATCAAGTTTGTCAGCAAAGAATGCAGCCACTTCTCCGCAGTGCTGATGACGGTTCTCTTCACCTTCCCAGAGTTCCCCTCAACTCCAAAGGCTCCGTCCTCATCGTTTTTAGCCTGAAGATTAGCACTCCCATAAATCACTTGCAGCCTCTGTCAGTCCACAACTATAGCCTCTGCCTCACCAAGCGCTATTCGCTCTAAAATAGAAGCGGATGGAGTTGGAGGAGACATGACGATGGGCAGAGGGGCCTATAACGGAAAGGTGTGAGTTGATTGGAAATGCAGAAGATCAAAGAGACTTCCTGTTTTCAACATGTGTCCAAGAAGTCGCTCTTTCATGAATAAAGTGATCAACAATCATTGTATCGTTCCATTCCCTTAACGGGACGATAACATGAAGTCAGGCTCTTTCATCTACTGGGAACACGGATAAACTCACATATGACTCTCTGCCTTGTCCAAGCCCTGCCATCCGTTCTTGGTGCCTGATTGGACAGCGTTTATGAAGGCAGCTGAGTATGACAAGCAGTCTTGTCTCAGGCCCAAAAGCACACTAGAGTGCCTAGTATAATTAATACCATATCAAACCACACACATATGGCGTCTGGCTCTCTTGATAACCTGCAGCTCTCTCCAAGGTCTGACCGCTGCACCTGTCAGAGCGGGTTATGCCATGCAAGGCTCTGCCACTTGCCCCCTGCTCAGACTCACTGGAGTCTTCATGCCATCTTTGACCTCTGCCCTCAACTGCCTGCTGTCTGGCCGCCAGTCTCCAAATGGCATGCGTTGTTTTCTGTAGAGACTTTCTGGACATGTTGTAAAACGCTTCTCGTGTGGCACTACCATGTAATGTAGTGATTGAGTGCTGGCTAATATACCTGTTTGTTTGTGTGTTTGATAACCCTACTAAAGAGACCAGCTTGAACTCGAGTATCCATACTGCTATATGCTGATTAGATGTGGTTTGCTGCTAGTCTAGCGATTGGTTTTCTAGTGAAGCTGGTTGATTGTTTGGAGATTTTTATTTTTGAATTTTTTTATTATAATTATTTGTTAAAATACTTCTTTCTAAGAAAAGTGATGTGTTAAGTTAGTATTGCACTACTTATTCTCACTGAAGCTAAATGAAACTCTCTTTCCTCCAGTGGAATTGCTATGCTTGGCTTGCAGCCATTTCGTACATTAGAAATGCATTAGAAATGTATATTTTATTTGTAATTGCTGAACTCCACTGAAACTGCATTTTGAAGATAGTTAAATGTGTAGTTCACCCCAAAATTTAATTTGTCATAATTTCTTGACTTTCTTTCTTCTGCTGAACATAAAAGAAGATATTCTGAGTTTTATTTATTTATTTATTTATTTGGTCCATACAATGGAAGTCAATGGAAACCAAAACTGTTTGGTTACCAACTTTCTTCAAAATATCTTCTTTTGTGGTCAACAAAAGAAAATAAGTCATATAGCTTTGGAACGACATGAGGATGAGTAAACCAAGACAGACTTTTAATTTCAGGCGAACTGTAGCTTTAAGAATCTAGCATCCAAAGCTCAACATACAGTCCAGTCCAGTGGTGAGCAGATGTGCTGGGAAATACTTGTTTGTCATCATGTCTAACAATCTGCTGAAGTGAAAGTCTTTCAGTGGTGTTTTGCTTGCGTTATGAGTGCGATCTTTGGTTTTGGCTTGTGAATGTGACCATTTAAGTATTGAAAAGATGAGTAATTAATGCTGATTTTGCAGGGTGAGCTAGGGATGCCTGGAATGCCTGGGAAACAAGGAGTGAAGGTAGTTCACTTCTACTACAGCCTCTATCCATCCCCATTTATTTATAATGAACTATCCTTTTTTCCCAGAACCCTGCATGCTGTTCCAGAAGCATTCCGCTGCTAAAACGCTCAGTCTTATCTGTTATGATTGTATGTAAAGCTGCTTTCACACCAGAGCGTGATTGATTGCTCATTATACAGGCACCTCACATATAAGCATCTCACCATCTGACACTGTAAAGTGGCGTCTGAGACTTGAGGAATGAGATGGCAGGAGAAAGACGGATGGTGCCACTAGCAGTCAGACCCCCCCAGCAGCCCTCGAGCTCGATGGGTCGAGTGTCCGCATGCAGCCGCAGCTGTGTCTTTAGATCACTGCCTTCATGTCTGCTCATTAGTCTGAGATAACAGACATGAATTAAATAGCTGTGCTCTTTACTATTAATAACAATCCAACTGTGGGCCGGCTCATTGCGGCACTGCTAGTGATCAGCTATTTGCGTGCCTGGAGAGCAAAAACTTCGACATACCAATCTAAATATTGATACCAGCGCGTGCTGTCTAATCGCTTCAATAGAAATTATGACATCTGATAGACCCTTGGGGGTTTACGATCGACGTAAACAGTGTTTGTCTAAATGATTACAGAGAATAATCTTCAGTTGAAATTGCGAATGACTTTTTCAGCCAAAATATATGATGCTGATCCCTTTGTTGATTTTCAAAGGTCAGGGTTTGAGGACATGTTTAGGTCTATTCTCACAGTTTTTCTTTTCTCTCTTTTTGTTTTCCTAATGTTGATGCCTCGCAACCTTCAGGGAGAGCCTGGTTTCCCAGGTGTCCCTGGACGAAAGGTAAAGGCCTGGTTTGGTGTGGTTGTATCTTTAACACATTTTGCTGATCATTCTTAAAGTAATGAAGAATTTTCTGTCGCTATGAAGGGTCAGGCAGGTGTTTCTGGTATCCCTGGAAAACGGGGCTACAAGGTACACCCAAATGTGTGCTGTGGCTGTTTCTGGCATAAGTGCTAGTTCTGATACTGGGCTTAAACCCTCAGGAAGTTTTTTTAGATGTGATGTTGAATATTGAGGTTGAATTTTACTCACCCGTTTGCAATTTCAAACATGTATGGCTTTCTTCCGTGCATTAAGTGTTTAAATGTTTGAACATTTTTTGGCAATTCTTTGAAATGTAATGATATTTTCAAGCTTCAAAATGAGAAAATAAAGCACCATAAAAGTGGTCCATACAAATCATGCACCTTATTTAACCAACTGAAGTGTTATTTTAGAAATTATTTATGTAATATTATATTATTTATTGATATTATGTTTTACTGTAAATTTAAATGTAAGTTTTAGTAAGTGTGCTTTTGTTATTTTTATTAATATTTAAATATATCTCAATGTAGTGTGAATGTATTCTTATTTTTTAGTTTTAGTAATTTTAATATTTCAGCTGTTTTTTTTTTCCTTAAGCAACATTTCTAATTTAAGTTTTTTATCTTATAGTAAAAGAATGGCTGAGTTTTTTTTTTAATCACCTTTAGTGTTCCACAGAAAAAGGAAAGGGTTTAGAATAAAAAGAGGCTGAATAAAAATAACCATATTTTAATTTTTCAGTGAATTGCATTGATTTGACTTTAATTACACATGCATGTCTAAAAGACTTCTATGAAGTGGTGACCTGACTGTCTGCACTCAATTCTGTTTGTTTTTGGTGTCAAAATGTATCTGTTTCATGTCATTTTCAGATATTATTTTGTCTGTACTGAAACTTAACAATGTGGAATTATTACGTTGCGGTTTCACTAGACTTTGTGTTCCATTTATTTTCATATGCACATGCAAGCGAGCATTAAATCTGCATGGCTTGCAGTGCTGCAGGCAATGGAAGAAGACAGTCTGTTTTAACATTTTTAATGTGTTAATTGTTATGATTTAATTAGTGTTTCTGCAAAACAGAAGCCCTAGAAGGTGACCTCATATTCTGCGGCCCATATTTGTTGTATTTCAGTGACCACACCTTTATTCTCACTCCCTGTCTTGAAGTACCGCAGCTGTGGTGAATTAAAGACGTCAACTGTAATGCTTCAAAAGCAAATGGGAACAAGATGCGCACACTAGAATGTTTTATACGCCTTCGTTATATAGAGATGTATCTTGAATCTTTGAATGTTAACTCCTATATTGTTATCTATTGCTAGGGAGAGAAAGGCGATCCTAGTGCTGCAGGAGCTGGCATCAAAGGAGAACCAGGTGCCTCGGGACAGCCCGGACAAGCTGGACCCAAGGTACCTACCCCTCATTCTCCACCTTATGTCCACTGCTGAATTTCTTTCTTGATGTGGTGTGACATGCACAGTCTAACAAAATAAGCTCATGGTTTAGTCAGAATTAAATTTTGACTTTCATTGTTGCATGTCTTTTCATAGGGTGAGAAAGGTGATCAAGGCATAAAGGTGAGCAATTGACTTTAAAAAAAATAAAAAATAAATAAGTGCTAGTTCATTGCAACTCTACATGACCTTGTATGATTGTTATATTTTAAATATGTCCTTGGAAAAAATAGCAAAATTAATGTTTTTGATTTGTAGGGTGACCATGGCCAGGAAGGCCCATCTGGACCAAGGGTGAGTAGAGGCCATGTGTCACTGACAGAGAAAATAATGCAAACAAGTCACCAGATTTGAATGTGATGTGAATGGCTGATATCAGAAATAATGCTATATATTATTGATTGTTTCCCCATTGCTCAACAGGGTCCACCAGGTCCAACCGGGGAGCCAGGAAAATCTTTAATCAACAACAATGAAAATGTATGTCTTTATTTCTGATGTATATAAATATCTTCAATTTGATTATGATTTAGTTATAGTGCATATTCACTTCTCGGCCTCATATAACAGATTCAACAGATTAATTTGTATTATGTGAAGGCACTAATTTTATTTTATTTTTCAGGATATACGCAATGTGCATTTAATGGTAAGTGTCATTCTTTGTTGAGAAAAAAGTATTTATTGGGAAGCTGGATAACTTGATATTGTTTGCGTATTTGAGCACACACATAGATGAATAGACAACTACTTTCAGATGTTTAAGTATATATTGTTTTTATTTTAGGGCCCTCCTGGTCTGCCTGGACCTCCAGGGTTTCCTGGGACCCCCGGTTTGAAGGTAGCTGACCAACTTCTCTCATTCTTACCCTTTCTATCCTTAGTGTATAACTTTAGGAGAATTTTAGATTATATTCATATACAATTCTGGTGAGATCTGAGGAAGTTTTTCAGCAGCATGCATTCCATGGTTTAAGACATGTCATTGTAGGCTACCTTGTTCTTTTGCATTAAACATAACATTTTTTTTTTCTCAGGGTGATGTTGGACTTCCAGGTCCCCCTGGTCTTGATGGGGAAAAGGTAAATAATAATTAACATTTACTATAAATGAAACACATTTTAGCCACTAATCTGCCATTAGTCCACTTGTGGATGCATTTACACAACTCTCGAAACTTCATAATGCTGAGTGATTGTACCTGTTTGCTTCTTAGGGTCCAAGAGGAAAGCCAGGAGAACAGGGACCCTTTGGCCCTCCTGGACCAGAGGGACCTCAGGGAGAAGGAGGAGTCATAGGCTTGCCTGGGCCAAAAGGAGACAAGGGAGACATGGGCCCCTCAGGATCACCTGTAAGTGACTATACCCAGCATTCCCATCATATATAGTCTGTCTGACTACACCTGAATTGTTAAATAACCACAAAAGGTCTTGCATGAAAGAATATTCTGATATCAAAATATCATAATATTCAAATTATGTACGCATCATGTAAATACATTAACCCAACTGCAAAGTTAACCAAATTAAGCCAATATTTCAGTTTCTAGAAATTACTAATATATCTGGTTTATGTAAGGAAAAGTTTGGATTCATGTAACCCTCGTTTGGAATATTGACTGTAACTGAATAAAAAAGAAAGCATTCCCAGTATTTCCAGAGGACAATGCATTTGTATTTGCCTTTTTTGGGATAATTTGGTTAAAAGAACATATTGCAATAACTGTGGAACATGTAAACATCTTTTTCAGATTAAATGCTTAACCAGAATATAGACCTTAATCAGAAAATGAGTTGCGTGTAAATGTGGTCATTGTTATTTGAGCAAGTGGGATCATGCTGAGTGCTTTGATGAATTTTGAAAGCGTTTGTGGTGGGTGGGCAGCATTGCATCTTGAAAGCCTACAGTTTACTAATCATTAATCCTACATGTTGGATGCTATGAATTCAAAGGCCTCTTGGTTGTGGGCCTTGTTTACAAGGCTTTCAAGTCATGTTCATCAACCCAGCCAATTTTAATGTCTATTTCCTTATTCTTTCCTCATTCTGTAGGGTTTAGATGGCCCTACTGGAGAAAAGGGGGTTTCAGGGCCCCCTGGCCATATTGGATTGCCAGGCCTAATGGTACGCAATGGTGCCCCTCAAGCAAACAGATTGTTGTCATTGTTGAAAAGACACGGCATGACTTTGGGATGCAGTGTATTTCGTCATGGCAGTTTGATTTATTTTGAATGAATGGTAGAATTCAGTATTCCTATCCTTTTGCTTTTTCATAATGTCTTCAGGGTCAGAAAGGTGAACATGGGGAGAAAGGAGATAAAGCAGAACTGGTATGTTCCACACTATTTAGCTGCTGATTGCACTTGTTAGAGGGTTTTATGGGGTTTCATTATATAATAGAGCCCCTATGTGTTTCCTAAGTTGGGAAATATATTGAATGAAATGTCTTAATGGTGACTTCCTTATCTGTTCTCTCTCAGGTCTATGGGCCTGCTGGACCTCCAGGACCTGCAGGGCCAGTTGGGCCATTGGTGAGGACAATGTCTACTTCATAAAAGCGTATGATAACAGCAGTCATATTACATGCATATCTGTGGAGCATCAGTGCATTTTTCTTCCCCATTTGATGGTGCATTTATGAAGAGAAACTCATTTTAAACATCTCAAAATGATACTGATTTCTAATAATTATTAATTTTTGCTTATCAGTCACCTCCAGGTTTGCCAGGACCAAAGGTAAGTATTCCAACCTAATGTAAAATGAAGTGTTATTTGTCTACTGCCATATGCTAAACGAGGCATTAAATCTCATATGTTCTTTTTAGGGAGAACCAGGAATAGGCCTGAGAGGAGAGAAGGGATCACCTGGACGGAAAGGAGAGAAAGGAGATAGGGGCCATCTTGGACTCCCTGTAAGTACATTTCTGATTCTTATAATCCAGTTTTTGATACTTGATAAACGTGCATTGCATTTATAGTCAGTACAATGTAAGATAAAAAGCTGTCCGATCTATCAAATCGCTCATTATGAAAAATACCTGTGATACCAGTGCATAATTAATTTGATAGTTTTCATACAATCTTGTCAACTGAATCAAGATGTTTTTGTCTTTCCTGAGTGCAGCGTTAGTGGAAAAGCATGTTTTGTGAAAGGTTTGTGCTTTAGCCCCCCCCCCCTTAATGCAAATATCAATGTGCTGCAATTTCATGTGTCTTTGTAACTAGGCGTCATGGTTCATGGCTAAGTGTCGTCACATTGCATGAATCAGTGAATATCCACATTTGGCAATCATATATACAAGTGTTATCATGTAATCATCCTGTCACATTGTTTTATACACATTTTAATAGATTACCAACAAGTTCTTGATGGTTTCAGATTACTGTAACTGACTGACATTCATGTTATTATTACAAAATACTGTATGTGGTTGTTTATAAAATGTTTTCTCTCTGCTCTGTAAATAGCATGCTATAGGTTTTGTTACTATGAATTTCAGGGGTCTTTTCCTGACATCATGACTAGTGTATATCTATGGTGTCAAAGTCATTGATTAACTTATTCTAGTCACATCATCAATGGCACAGTAACTCCTTTACTTTTGTTTTGAATCTGCGATATAGAAATTGAGATATCAAGAAAGTTTTCTTAATCAGCATTTTTGTCTTGATTTTCAGTATAAAAAAGGGAATAAAAAAGTATTTTAAACATAAACCTCACAACATTGTGTTACATATATGTTTAAAGCAAAAGCAGTTTGGAAATGTGGTAAAATAGGGGGAAAAAATTGCGCATTATGCATTTTTAAGTAAATATGAAGTAAAATAAAATGTTTATTGATTTTTACTGAAAACAAGATTAAAATGCTGCTTAAGAAAATGCAGCATGGATGGGTAATGTTACTTTTTCCACAACCTAGTGAGCTGCCATAATTTAAAGGCATTGTATGTTCATTTCTAGCACAAAGGCTGTTTGTTTTGTTAGCTTAGCAACATGCTATCATCAAATTTAACTTAGCGGCAGGCTAAATCAAGTCTCCTGTGCACTTCTCGTGAGGAGCGCTAGCCTATTTGTGTGGCACGCAAAGTCGCTTTCTATGTATAGTGTTCCAGTTCAGTCACTTACGAGGTTGCGTTTCAGTCAGCATGCTGCCTTAGAAGGCCGCAAACGGCAATGTAGCTCACTAGGTTTTGGAACCGAACAACTATTTACAAGTATTATTTTTAGTTTTTGCATCTCTTCTGGAATGTATATGCCACCTGTTGTTATTTTATCACCATCTATACGATTGAATGGACCACTTTAGGTCCTGTTCACTAGCAGTCACACTTGCACTAAGACAATAAGATGCTAAAGTCACGTTATAAGGAGTTACTGCTTGTCTCTCACATGTCATCTTCAACACGTCACCCCTCCATCAAAACTAGTGTTGTTTTTATGTGGCACACGAGTCACTGCTTCACTCACCTCCCCCCACACTTCTCCCCTCCTCCCTTCCTCTCCTCCACCTCCATCTCTCCTCTCGCTCTTTAACTCTTTACACACTGTCCAGGGGGCTCATGGTTTAGACGGCAGGCCTGGTCCAGTGGTGAGTGGCGCAAGACACGTTCCCATCATCCACCCCTCTATTTCCATCCATCCCTCTCTTGTTTCTCCCTCCGCCTGCTTCTCTCGTTCTGTCTGTCTGCCTCTGATTGAGCTGTTGCTTGCTTGCTTCTGTGTTTTGTGTCTTTTCTGTGTTGTCTAATGGTCAAGGCCTTGTTTAGATCTCTATTGAGGTTGCATCGGCATGAGTATGACTTTGATTTGACTTTGTCCCTAAGCTGTTTGGCTGTTGCCTCTTGCTGTTTCCTGAGGTACCACGCTCGGTTGATTTCTCAACCTGTCAACACGCGAGTGACTGAAGGGGAGCATGGCCAAACACTTATAAACATCTCTCTCTCTCTCTCTGAAACGCAATTTCTCCTTCTTTGAAAAGTATGCACATCGTGCTCTACAAAAGTGAATAATCCTTTCGCATTTCATGCCGTCGCAGCCCTCTATACCTTTGTAAAAAAAAATTCAGACATGCTTGAACTCTGACCTTTCGAAGGCTTAATTCCCTCACAGCTTCAGAGCTTTATTTCATTCCATGACAAGCTTTGATCTTGTAATGTCATACCAGGAGAGAGCATGATGGGATGCGGCTGCATGAACAATGATTTCACGACATACAACTGTACAAATGGCTGAGAAGCAAGACTCCTGAAAAAGCAAGATGTCTAACAGCCCTTCTGTTGATTCCTCTCCAAGTCATGGGAGGAAAATGGAAGATGGATTCGCTGTTATATTTACTTGTGTGTCTGTTTATTTCCACTTAGATCAACAAACTTTGGAGTTTTGTGGAATTCCTCTGCAGATTGGTCCTCGGATAGCTCTTTTTAAACATATATAAGGAGTTTAAATTGCTCTTATTCGGCTCAGAAAAGTTTGTTGATCTATTGGTGCTCAACACTGATTAGTTTCTCTCCCTCTCTAAACTCTTAACCCACCGCTGTGCCCTCTGTTGAAGCTCACGCATGTCGTTTTCTTTGTTCAAAGGGTCTGATAGGACCAGCTGGAGTACCTGGGCCTGCAGGACCAAAAGGAGAAATGGTTAGTACAATTTAGAAACAAATGCATGAGGCTTCAAAATGGGTGTTTCTAGTAATATTTTGTGTTATGCAAAATTATAAAAACCTTGATGATGCTGTAGGCATGAATGCAAGCATCATGACAACTGGCCAAATGAAGTATAGTTTGAATCACAAATAATTACATTTAGAGTTGGGGAAAGTTACTTTTAAAAGTAATGCATTATAATATTGCGTTACTCCTTCAAAAAGTAACTAGTACTTAGTTGCGTTTTATGGGAAGTAATGCATTACGTTTTTTTTGGTCACCTGGACTTTAAAGGGGTCATATGATGCGATTTAAATTTTTCATTTCCTGGCCAATCAGAGCACACCTCGCTTTTTCAGACCGATGAGCTTTGTAAAAATCGACGCATTTCAGAAAGGCAGGGCATAGAGGAGAAACAATAATGTACAGTATTTGGAAAATAATGTTTTTTTTTAACCTTAAACCGCATAAACACATTTCATTACACCAAATACACAAAATAATGTTCTTTTTAGCAACATCATGTGACCCCTTTAATAACAAAAAACCCAAAAGTTATATTTTTGGCAGCTGTAAAAGCCCGTTTCACACCAAAAGTGAAATTAATAAGCCTCAGCCTGAAGGAAGTGCCTAAAGGAAGACAGGAGAGGTGTGAGTGAATAAATGGGAAAACAAAGTAACTTGCATTACTTATTTGAAAAAGTAACTCAGATATTTTGTTGTAACTGAAAAGTAATGCATTACTTTACTTGTTGAAAATTTTTTATCTGATTACGTAACTCATGTTACTTGTAATGCGTTACCCCCAACACTGATTACAACATTGCTTAGGTGATAAAAAAAACTTGATCAATCGTTGAATTATTAGATGTTTAATGCACGTGCAGGATAGTAATGCAACTAGTTGCTCTGTGAGTGTCGTCAATATTTCAATGGCCTGTTGTCAACTAGTTAAAATAAAGTATTCACTGATTGTGTGAGGAGTAAAGTCCAGTGTAATATAGGTTCAGTATAATGCCAGTATAATGTATAATGTCTTTTTTACTTTACAGGGTGAAAAGGGTGATATGGGAGTAGCTGGACCAATTGGGCCTCAAGGCATCCCTGTAAGTGCTGAACCAGGGCACACTTTAACATTTCAAATACTGTTTCCAAATAACCACATATAAGTGCATTCAAATGAAAAATGGACCATCAGTAACTTCCCTCCCCTATGCATTCAGGGTTTAGTAGGACCACCGGGATTAAAAGGAAACCGGGTAAGATTATAAATGCGTTTGTAGAATATGTTATTGTGACTTTAAGGGACAATAACATGAGTCCACTTTCTTAAAATAAAGGGATGGATGATATTTCTAAACCAGCATGAATCTGCCAAACTTTTAAGCATTAGCTACTGTCCATTATTTAAAAAAAACCTGTGGTTATTTAATTTGTTCAAATAAAAATTATGCAATATTAGTTGTAATTGTTATAATTTTTAATTAATGAGACAAGCAGAAGCATGCTGGGTATAAGAAATTAGAATGGCTACTGCTTACTGCTAGAAAATATGTGTACATATACAGTGAGGTCTAAAAGTCTGAAAATAAGAAAATTAAAATCTAAAATGCTTAAACGTGAAAACACAAGTGTTATGCAGTAAATATTGAGTAAAATGTAATTTCTATACTATTTAATTATCATTAAATAGTCATTAATTAAATAAGAAAATGTGTGTGATCATGTGACTTTTTTGTACAGATTGAAGCATGCCCTTTCATTCTCAAATCATGATGAATGAAGCATCAGGATTTACACATGCACAAATGAAATTCAAGTTAAATTGATTCAATTAGTCATTGAAGTATTACATTTAAAAAATGCCACTGTATATGTTCACTGATCATGATTTACACATATATTCTTATTTCAGAACAGTATTTTTGTTAATCCTTATATACATATATTTATTTGCAATTATTCTCTTTGTTTTTGCAGTTCTTATTTTGTTAGTATATAGACACGTTTAGAGTATGTAAACACCTTTAAAGAGACAAAAATATATATTTTTGCATGATTAACAGAAAAACTGACGTATGATATAAATGGCTAAAGTTAAAATGTTCTGCAAAAGAGATATTATTGTAAAAAGAATATGAATAGACCATTGCTTTTCTATGCTTTTCCTATGCTTTCATCCTCCTAGACTGAATGCCTCGATCCTATTAACACTAATTTCCTCAGTTAATGACTGATTGTTTCCCACCTTGAATGTCAGGACATGTCAGTGCTCCTCCCAGCATCCTCCACTGGCCATGTAGTAGTAAACAGGACCAAATAACTCAAGTCTTGGATAATTGTGCTCAGTGGAAGGTGCTGTGGAGGACCTTTGGACACGGTGCTGTTTTTACTCTTGTCCTTTCCTTGTCTTCCTCTCTTTTTTTCCACAGGTCTTCCTATCCCCTTTTCCTCCCCCCGCACCTTGGCCTGTGTCCGTGGCTCTTTTTGCTGAGTCGGGCCGGGTCATCCTCTCTGTCCCCTTCTCACTCGCTGGCCTCCTCCTGCTCCTCCTGCATCCTAATGTTGTAGCCTGGGTTAATACTCCTCCTCTTCCTCACCTCCTACTTTTGTTCATATCCTTCACTGACCTCCCTACCAACCTGCATTCATTTTCTCCCAATTATTCTAATGCACAGAGTTCTTATTGTTCCACGAAAGCCTCATCTGGATCTCTTTTGAAAAGGCACATAACCAAGCAATGTGGGAAAAGGCATTATGTCAGTGCGGAGCTCATTTTGACATCCTGATGAGAGTATTTAGAAAAAAACACTCCAGTCGGGAGCCAAAAGTTCAGAAACAGTCTTATAGAATCAGTATTTGTCAAACAGGATTAGAAAATGAGCTCCATGTTGATTCATAATGTAATTCCACTTAGATTTTTTTCTTCTTCCTCCATTAAGTGTTAGAATAACAGTCATGATGAGGGCTGTGCGGAATGTTAGAACTCTGTATCCTAGCTTGGATAGATCCCACTTTGGAAGACTTATAAAGCTTAAATGTAATAGTTTCCTCTGAAGAACCCTTCAATTCGCGTGCAGACTTGAGCATAAATATCATGACACTCTAAAAGCAGATCTGGTTTTAATTAGTAATAAAGCATAGGGATGTTGATTAAACTGTTTTAGTGCCTCTTCAGTTTTGTAAATTAGCCTTTGTAATTATATCGACTCAAGAGTTCTATATGGAATCAATCACAGATTGTCTATTTATTGGAGACAACGTTTGATGTCAAGATCGGGGAATAAAAACATAGTTCGTTCCATTCAGAAGTGATCACCCAATACGCCATTGACTTCAAAGGTTTAGATATAGGGCTAAAAAAATAACTTTTGAGTAATCTTTTCAGGCACTTCTAGTTGGAATGACCCTACAATATAGATGCCATGAAGGCATTTATCATTTATCTGTTTAAAAGTTTGGGGTCAGTATATAGTTTTGTTTCTTTTGAAAGAAATTGATACTTTTATTCAGCAAGGACACATTAAATAAAAATAAATTATAGTAAAGTAACATTTATAATGTTACCAAATATTTCTGTTTTTTTATTAATATTGAGGGGCAAGAAAGGCAACAGGGGGGCCAAAGGGGATAAGGGAGACCAAGGAGCCCCGGGATTAGATGCCCCGTGTCCCTTGGTATGTCTTTCGTTCAACGTGCAGCACTAAGGCAAAAGGAGACTTCCCGAAAGCCACGCCTCCTTATGTCTTTGTGTAATAAACACTAACAGATGCCCAGAAGAGTTCTGGTCGAAGTCTGTGAATTACAACGTATGTACAATATAGAGACTCATATGTTACTCACGCATTATATTAGAACTATTATAGATGGGGATTTGAATTCAAAATGACTAGGCACCAGAACTCTCAATGGGATGTTTGCTTTTCAGGAGTAAGACTGACAGGAATATGGTTCTGCTGAACACAGTAGGATGGAACCCCTAGTTCAGTAACTAAATGATGTGAGTTTCCAGCCCTGTGGATGCAGCAGGTCTCTTCCTGTCAGTCTCGGGTCCAGAGTGCTCTGGGCCAATCAGACGCTGGAACAGAGCGGCCAGTGTAGCTGGACAACAGGATGTTTATATGATTGATTTCATGAACAGGGTTTCCGAGGCTTTAAAGGAGAGAAAGGTGAACCGGGGCTGCCAGGCCTGGACGGGCTAGATGCCCCGTGTCCCGTGGTATGCTGCTGTCTATCCCTTTCCTTATTCCGCATGCTTCCTGCCTTCCTGAACCAGTCATGCTTTCTAACTGCATAAGGCTTCAGCATAGCCCGTTTAAGGAATGGAGAGAGAAGAGTTACAGAATAGGACGGAAAATTCTTGCATGCATCAGTATTAATATCTATAATTAACTCTAAAGGAATAGTTCACCTAAATATAAAAATTTACTCACACTTCATCCAAGGTCATCCAAGATGTAGATAAATTTGTTTTTTCAAGGGAACAGATTAGGAGGAATTTAGCATTGCATCACTTGTTGAGCGATGGATCCTGTGCAGTGAATGGGTGCCGTCAGAATGAGAGTCCAAACAGCTGATAAAAGCATCACAATAATCCATAAGTAATCCACATGACTCCAGTCCATCAATTAATGTCTTATGAAGTGAACAGCTGTTTTGTTTTTTTTACTTTAAACAATCGCTTCGGGTTAAAATACTAGTCTATAAATCTATAATAATACTTCCTCCAGTGAAAAAGTCCATCCACTGTTGTCCTCTCACATCAAAATCCACAGACATATTTGTTTAGAACTGCTTTGTAATGTTTTTTCCTTGTAAACGATGCTTGATCTGTGCATATTTCTCTCCTGATTCAGACAAGACAACTTTTTCACTGGCGAAAGCAATATTATGGATAGAGGACTCATATTGTAGTTAAAAAAATTCTTAATGATGGATTTGTTTCTTACAAACACATTTAGATTTCACTTCACAAGACATTAATTGATGGACTGGAGTGGTGTGGATTACTTGTGGATTATTTTGATGTTTTTATCAGCTGTTTGGACTCTCATTCTGATGGCACCCATTCACTGCAGAGGATCCATTGGTGAGCAAGTGATGTAATGCTACTTTTCTGCAAATCTGTTTTGATGAGACAAACTCTACTTTTTGGATGGCCAGAGGGTGAGTAAACTATTCCCTTAATTTTTAGCCATTTTAAAAATGCTTCAAACCAATTAATTGATTTCTATAATAAAATAATACAAATCTAACAGTTTGTTTTCACCGATACATAAGGTTTAACTTTCTAGATTTCTGTTGAATGTGGATAAAATATTTAGACTACTTGTAAAATAGGATTGTTGCTACTAAACTAGTTGACTTTTTTAATGTTTAACATGACTGCATGCGTTCCATTTTCATTTCACTTATCTTTGTATTCAATATTCTTACACTAACCCACGTTTTGTCTAAATAATCCTCCACTACATTTCACCACATCTGTTTCAGTCCAGTAAATTGGAGCATCCATGGGTCACCACAGATATCTGCATGAGAGAAAGTGTTTACTGGAAATGCATTGTTGCAAAAAGCAGGCATCTTGACTGACCATTGTTTTCATGGACACCATTTAAATTGTCAAGAATGAGAACACTTTGAATTGAATGAAATATCCAAGTGCATACTGTAGATGGATAGATAGAATAGTATAATTATTATAAAATTATAATTTTAGTTGCCACTATGTGTTTATGTTTGTGTGCACGGACAGTCATCTATTGATTGATTGACTGATTGACTGCAGAGGGGAAATGGAAATGTATGTTTCAAAAGTGATTATGAAAGGATTATATATACTATATGCGCACGGATACGGTTATGTCTCCCTTCTCAAGAAAATGACTAATTCTTACCGTTCTTCACCACTCCTCTTCTTTGTTTTAGGGTGATGATGGTTTGCCAGTACCAGGGTGTTGGAATAAAGTGAGTTCTATTGACTGATCATATCAACATTTTGGTTTTTAAATAATTGTGGCCATACCATCCTTACTATGATAACTCGTGCGCTGAATTTGTCATATGGAGGTATAGATTTAAAAGTGAATATATTAACAGTCATCTATCTTAAGTTTAGAATGTGTAATCATAATGTAATACAAATTGGTTAAGAAATTATTTTGAGCATTACTCAATATAGAACTAAACATTTTCAGTCTGCTAATATGATACTTTATGATCAGTTGTTTAGAATATGATTTGAGATTTACTGTCGATTCAACATTTTAAGAATAACTCTATACCTCCATTTGCTCGGAAGGTGTGTGCTTGAAAATAACTCAATCATTTTGCCTCTTGTTTTGCAGTGACATTAATTCCTGAGTGCCATGTGTGATTGTAAATAGAATATTTATTTTTGTACTTTTTTTGCCATTGATCTGTTATATCGATGGAAAATACAGCAAACCATAAAAATACTGGCAGGACTTTTGTACAGATGTTTATTTTTATTACTGGTAATGTTGTTTATGTAATGGACTTTATACTGTACCTATGCATTATGTCAAGATGTTTTTTTTTGATGGAGGAAGAAATATACTGTGGCAGCATATGCATGATATTTGTGCATTATGTTAACTGATAGGTGCCTATTAACTTATTGTATCATGGTGTTTTAATGTGTTGTGTCGGACCACGCTGCACTGATTAGTGGGGCTGGAGTTACAAATTGGCCTTGTGTGTAAGAGGAAACCCTTTGCTCTGAGATTAACATGTTCACACCACACCTAATGAGCTTACACTGTAACTGCATATGTTTACTGAACATTAAAATGACTTATTTCAAAGTCCATACTACATGCAGTAGAATTATAGTAGAACAAGTCAGTTGTTTTATATGAGTTTCAGTGCTTACATTTTGAACATTTGCACTGCATGGCTTGTTAAGTGAGTTTTCTCCATAATCACCTGCCATTTTTTGCCAAATATATTATTGCTAAAACTGAATTAGTGAATGGCTTTATGTAAAGAAAAGAATGACTTAAGTCCACACGCAGTGCTTTGCCTTGATGGGTTTCATGTAAATATGCCTAAACCTTGCCCTTTGAGCAGCTATTTTTTCTCTATGTTTATTCTTATTTCTGGCAATTTAATAGCATAGTCGATAAATGTAATTTACATACTTAGGCAATGAATTTAGTCTTAATTTATCTCGTACATATTGCTGCTCACTGTCAAGCACATATCTGTGTTTGTTAATAAGCATCAACACAACCACTCAAAAGTTTGAGGTCAGTCTTTTTTTTTTTAAGATAATAATACTTAAGCAAGGATGCATTAAACTGATCAAAAGTGTAACTTTTTAAGCAGCAAATCAGCAAATCAGAATGATTTCTGAAGGATCATGTGACCGTGATGATGCTGAAAATTTAGCTTTGATCACAGGAATAAATTACATGCTTATACAGTTATTTTAAAAATTGCAAAAATATTTAACAATATTACTGTTTTTAAGGTATTTTGACTAAATAAATGCAGCCTTAGTGAACATAGAGTAAGTGACTCCAAACTTTCGAATGGTAGTGTATGTCCCATTTTACCTCATCCATAAGTAAAAATGAAGAATCACATGACATGCCATTTACATCATAATATGTTTATTCCCAACAAAATTATCAGGGTCATAAAAAGGCCCTTAGCTAAAATAGTTTTATTTGTTTTATGTTCATTCAGTGTTGAAGTGGATTGTGTAGGATTGCTGCTGCTTACATTGACAAGCTATTCAGGTTCCATTTTGCCACTTAATATCAAGTTAAGCATGGTTTGTAATCACGTGTCTATAAACATTTTATCTGTCTGTAATACCTCATACTAACATGTGCCTTAATGCTTTTACTCTGCCAAAGTAGTTTTGAGACATGTCAACAATAATGTCGAAGCTATGCTGTCAACATGAGGAATATAAGATAATAAATGGCTGTAAAAAGCCAAAACGTTTTCAAACACGTCTTATTTATTCATATGTTCTCTCTTTGATTTGATATCCTAAGAAGATTCTCATTGTTTAACTCTCTGTTTGCATAGCTATGACATGACGTTTACACAGAGACTAAGAAAAATTAACACCCTCTGGATGTTTACACGCTGAAGTTGTGCTTGTTATTGTGATATGCATCTGACGAAAGTGTGAAAATTGCATCAGTGGGTTTCAGGATTGTGTTATGTTGTGTGAGGCCTTCTCCGTATGTCATTGCTGCAGATGTCCGCTACAAATATGTATGTTTCTTTTATTAAAAGGGTCAGAATCCGTTCCAGCTCGCCAAGAAGTAATCCTGCAGTGAGATCCACGAGCTTCTGGTTCGATTTCCTTCATAAGCAACACAAAAACTTGAAGAGATCTTGGGAGATCTTTGAGTTTGGTGGCTGTTTGAAGGGTTTAGTTTCCTGTATAAGCGTGCTGTAGTACTGAAGGGCTCCAGAGGGCGGCAGATGTGAGACTGGACTACAAAAAAGACATAATGCAAGAAGTAGCCTGTCCTTTCTCCAAGTTTTACACCTTTTGCTTTCTCTTTTATATTGTTCACTATGTGAAAGAAACATTTTAGCACATTTCGTTCCTTGTTGCTGACGATGTTAAATAATGTTTGTGATCAGAGGATCCAGCGCAGCTCGTTGAACATGCAGATGTGGTCTGAGTGTCCTTGTGTTTCCAGACAAACCAAAGAAAGACAAAATCTTTGATGATTCCTGATTCTAACTATCACTGCCTTCTGTCGAGAGTTGCAGGTAGAATGTAACCTCACACTTCACTCCTACTCTCGTTTATTAGTAGTATTTAAAGGTGCAATGTGTAATATTTACATCGATCTATTGACAGAAATGCCATATAATATACATAACTATGTTTTCAGAGGTGTATAAAGACCTTACTTAATGAACCGTTATGTTTTCATTACCGTAGATTGAGCAATTTATATCTACATCTTCTTTTATTTTCTTATAATTTTATTGGCGGTTGGCAAACCAACTGAAAGGTGCATTTACCGCCACCTACTGGACTGGAGTGTGGGTTATATCTACATACACCGCGGGTCCCCTTACATGGAAGTCGCCACCATGTTTCTACAGTAGCCCTAAACGGACAAACTGCTCTACACAGCGCGTTTCGTCACTTTGTTGTTCTTGCGAATAAAACACTGACACACTGATGAACAAGTACATTAATATTCGCAATAACATCGATTTATTAAATAATTAAGTAAATATAATTCCTTAATTTACCTTTGTAAAGAAATCTCATTGCTCTCTGCTGTCTTTACCGACAACATCTTTACCTGTGTCGGCCACCGTAGCTTCTCTAAAGGCAGGGGTGAACGGGGGACTGAGCCGTTGGTTGCAATTCGCAACCTCACCACTAGATGCCGCTAAAATTTACACACTGCGCCTTTAACATGGATGTGCATAACCGTCCTGCTTTGCATTATGCACACATGTATTACAGTACATTCATACAACATAATGTTGTGCTTGTACATAGCATAATGTTATAGTCTAACTTTAAAAAGTGAGAATAGAATAAGTTGTACAGCTGAAAACAAAGTCAACATGAAAGACTATCACCATAACTAAGTCGAAACGCTCAATGTGCCAACTAAATGTTACTTCACAAAAACAGTTTTCAAAAATTGCAACATGGGCATTTGATGGTGTTGCAACATGCATGCAACATTTCACTGCTGTAAACATAGATGCCAATGCTGACTCCATCTGTATATTTTGCCAACTCTTTGAAATGCAAATAACTTTGCAGTTTGTTGGGGTAAATCTACTCGTACAGAACGGCTGTACTTTTCAGATTGTATTGGGGCAGCTAAAGCAACTAATTTAAACCAGCAGTGACACATTGGGCGTTTAATTTATCATTGGTTCAGCACACGTTTGAACTTCAGATAAACTATTTGTTTATATGAAGTGTTTATGCCTACAACTGAGTAGAGAAAAAAATCATTTTTGACACGAAAGCTAATTTTGGTTGTTATTATTACCAGAATCACAGAATATACAGTACTGCTATGAGATGACAACACCACATCAACCATAACAGGGTTTGTGAGGGAAAATAATCTTTAATTAGCCTACTTTTAAAATTGTAACCTGGATTTTTTTGATGTGGTGTCAAATGTACCAGCAGCTATGTTTTTTTAACCTAATGCAAGCATTCCTTATATTATACTTTGACTGTTTCAGAAAAGATTGGTTGTATATAAACCCACTGTAAATGTAGAGTCTCATTAAATCTTCCATTATGTCCATTTTAATAGATTAAGGTGTTATCCAGATAACAAGATAATTAATATTTAAATTAAATGAGTTTGCATTCAACTCATTAAAGCCTCTTATTTTCTCATCAGTATAGGTTATTGTTTTCATGGTAATCTGAATTAAATACTAAAAAATGGTCATGTTAAAATGTGTTTATTTGAAACTTTGATTATTGGATTATAAATGACTGAAAATCTACTTTTATTTGTTTTGAAGACTTAAAGTTGAATGATATATGTGTTAAAAAAAATAGCATTTCGTAGTGATACACTCTTAAAAATAAAGGTTCTTCAGTGGGTTATCGGGGCACATTTTCACTGTTTAAAGGTCTTGACTATATGATATTCTGAAGATTTAGAAAGCTCTTGATTGATTTCTAGGATCTTTGAATCACAAATAATCAGTGCATCAATTGTTTTTTAAAGAATTGGCATTAGGCTGTAAGTCATGCTGATTTATGGTGTCAGGCTGTAAAGCCCTTTAACTGTTACCTTTATTTTTAAGTGTGTTGACATCTGTACATTTACAGACATGCATTATTTTATGCCAGTAGGTACAGAATAATTCATATTTGCAACAAATTTCAGATTATAATAACTGCCAAAAAGAAGAGAAATACTTTTTAGTTGTTATATTCTCAAATTGGTTGCACGTGTATCACTCATTCTGGACCCACTCACATAATGCTAAATTTACAATGCTCAAAAAACAGGATGAATCTGATCTTATGCATTATACTATATTAGCATTGGGTGATTTTTTTTTACTTTAGGGCATGTTGTAAAGTGTTTTTCATTTTATTGTACACAAGGCATCGTTTCTTTTTTCTCAGTATAATTTTGCACATTGAAGTGTGTGTGACTTTTTCCATGTTTTGAACAAGAATATAATATTTGTACTGTACATCAGGCGTTTTCTACACATTTCCCTTTTGACAAACATTGTGATCTTGTATTGTCCTTTGTACAGTGTACTCTTCAAATAACGTGTCGCTCCAATATAAATATCCTGACTAGATTCAAATCTGCGACACAGCATTTAAAGGAATACAGTAGTTCACCCAAAAATGTAAGTTTCCAAGATGTAGACGAGTTTGTTACTTCATCATAATAACAGATTTGGAGAAATGTAGCATTACATCACTTGCTCACCAATGGATCCTCTGCAGTGAATGGGTGCCGTCAGAATGAGAGTCCAAACAGCTGATAAAAACATCACAATAATCCACACGTAGGCTAATCCATTAGACTTCAGTTCATCAATTAAGATCCTGTAAAGAGAAAAGCTGCGTGTTTGTAACAAAAAAAAATACATCAAGACTTTTTTTACTTGCTTCCAGCTAAAATAATAATTTCCATAATAATCCATAATTGTTGCTATTGTGATGTTTTATCAGCTGTTTGGACTCTCATTCTGACGGCACCCATTCACTGCAGAGGATCCATTGCTGGGCAAGTGATGTAATGCTACTAAATTTCTCCAAATCTGTTCTGATCTGTCTCTTCTACGTCTTGGATGGCCTAAGAGTGAGTAAAATTTTTTTTTTTTTAGAAAACTTTCATTTTTGGGTGAACTACTCCTTTAAATATTCACCTCTCCAGATAATCTTTTGATACAGCTTTTTTCTTTTGTAAGATATCTATGTAATGTATATATATATATATATATATATGTTTGAATAGTCAGTTATTTACCATAGTATAAATTGACCTTTAATGAGGAGTACACTTTCAAAACAGCTGTCAAGTTCAGCTAGGAACATTAACCAAACTTGTCAGTTGTAGTTTTTGATGCCAGTTTATTCTTGGATCATTTGGATCTCTGCATCACTGCCTACGTGAGCACTGCTGTCTTTTAGAAGGAGTTTAGACTTTGTTCACCTGCTGCTCACAAACAAGTCAAACTCAAGTGTGTTTCATACCGAGAACAAACATATTATCAAACATTTTGTGTGATATCTTTAATACTGTTGTTGTATGTAATTGAAAATGGATAAGAGGGCATTTATTTCTGTGCTTGTACAGGAAGTGCAAATGCAAGATAAATTGCAACCACTTGCATGGTTATTATGCACCTACTTGTATACATTTACATTTAAAGTGGCAGTCTGACTAACATGTTATACGGTCTGTTTGACTAAAGGTTGACTTTAGGGTTATGTTTATCTTTTCCCTTCTTTAAAATGTTCAAAATCAAGCATTGAATAAATATGTCAAAGTTCATTCAGTTGTTGATTTAATATATGCTTCTAGAGAAACCAACATTATTATTTAAAGTTTTGTTAAGGTCTCTCTTTTTTCATAATGGAACAAACTTTTTATTTATTTCGTTTATTTATTTTTTTAGCTTTTTGTTTGTTTTTAAAAAACGACATCAAACCTGTATTAGCCAGTGAAATAAAGGGAAATGTAATAATGAAAATGCACGGACTGAACTGTTCTGTTTGACAATCAAATTGTGATTTTAAATAAATGACAAATCAGAATTTAGGCAGATGACTGCAGAGAGTCTTGACACAATACTGTTATATGGAATAGTGGATAGTCTGGAAACCATGAAAAAAGAAATCAAAATATGTTTGTGATGTATTCATAAATCAAAATATGCATCATAAATTGTGAGACGGTGTTGTTTGTTGATTTAGGTTTATCCTGTCCTGTGTAATGCTGCTCTTCCGCCGCTAGATGTCAGTAGAATGAATGGTGAGTGTGAGCGCTCAAGCTCTCATCCTGTGATTGCGCCGCTCAGAGCGATCGATCGCTCAAATGTGGAGGAGCGGGCGTCTGAATTATCCTCAAATAACCAGCAGTGGAAACTGCATTACACACTGACAGGTGGTAAGTAGCCTGCAAATCAACATTTTGCCTGTCTGCTGCGTTTAATTGCGTTTAATATCGATTTTGCAGATAATTTACGCCATTGTACGTAATTTAAGAGGCTACAGAGTTCACAATCGTAAATGGCAATCTAGTTGTTAATCAAATGTTGATGCTCGAAGTCTCGGTGAATGGGAATATTTCAGTTTCTCGGGTCAAAGAGTTATTTATCTGCTATTCATAGTCAATGATGTTACTGGTCTTTTTTCACGTTTCTATTGTCAGATGTGTTTTAACTATCTTTACTAAAAACTGTAGCTATACTTTCCCTGGACAATAATAGTGTAAACATATTGTATTATTATTATTGTTATTAATAATAATTAATAGTTCCACAAAATTCAGTAGTCTGAACTGTCTTGTGTGATAAGGTCTTAAAATGTGTTTATTGGCCATGTGTGTGTGTCTATATATATATATACAGTAAAACAAAAAAATATTATTATTATTATTTTTATTTTTTTTTACTAGTGGGTGCAGGACACTATAGTTCATTTATGTAAGTAAGGACAGCAAAATAAAGTAAACTGTGACATATTATACCCAAAAATTCTTCCAATAAAATGGATAAAAATTTGCTATACAAACACTTTGACCTGACCATGTTTTGCTTAAGTGTTTTTTTTTTTATTGCTAATGCAACCTTTTTACACCACAGACTGAACAAAATTAAGCACTGCTTGGTAATTGGTTGACCTAAATTGGTATTGTCTAATTGTGTACTTAAATTTAACAGCTGACAGCTATTCAACCTAATTCATTACATACCTTTCTATCGAAGTTATCTGACATTACCAAGATTAATTTGTTAGTTCTTGTCATATTTTATTACCATTTTATAAACTATAATAATGTGAGAAATGTTGAAGGTGTCTGAATACATTTTGGTTTGACTGTATATATATACATTTCTAAATAATATTTTTAAAGGAAACGTATTTATAATTTTGAATGATTTTAAATTGTTATGTAGTAATGTTTCTTTTTACAAATACATTTTATACAATTTTAATTAGAAGCATGATTAAAACAATTTTTGAAAATAGCATACAGTGCCGCTTGAAAGTTTGTGAACCCTTTAGAATTTTCTATATTTCTGCAAAACATAATCAGATTTTCACACAAGTCCTGGAAATAGACAAAGATAACCCAATCAAACAAATGAGACAAAAATATTTTCTTTTTCATTTATTTATTGAGAAAAAATTATCCAGTGTTACATATCTGTGCGGTGCAAAAGTTTGTGAATCTCTAGGATCAGCAGTTAATTTGAAGGTGAAATTAAGAGTCCATCTGTTCAGAGGTGTTTTCATTCAGTGAAATGACTATCAGGTGTCATTGCCTGCCCTGTTTTATTTAAAGAACAGGGATCTATCAAAGTCTGATCATGTTTGTGGAAGTGAATCATGGCATGAACAAAGGCGATCTCTGAAGACCTCAGAAAAAGAGTTGTTGTTGCTCATCAGGTTGGAAAAGGTTACAAAACCATCTCTAAAGAGTTTGGACTCCACAAATCCACAGTCAGACAGAT